GGGGGGGGGGGGGGGGGGGGGATTTCACAAGACTATGTATCATGCATTCATCTTGTTAGCTAACTAAATTTTCATCTCCGGACTATCCTAATTTGATTCCAAAGGAACCCTATTCCAAAAAACTGCGACCACTTAAGAAAAGGTGCAACCATCAAGAACCCCTCCACCATCAGGCAGAGTCCAAAATCTGACACTTGTTGAGATAAAAGAAACAGATCTTAATCAGGACTGAACTCTCTCACCTCGAGGAGTAGACTCAAAGCCGCAGTTAGTGAGATGATTAGCAAGCGTCTCTCCTAAAGTCTTTTGCCAGTCAGGTACACTTTTGGCTTCAGGTACAGGCCACACTATTGCTGTCTCGGTAGTAAGATTAACACTAGCTGTAGCAACTTGAGGCTATACAGCAAAGAGAATAAATCAAGAAAACTCTTTTTCAAATCAAATAATCAAACCAGCAAGTTCTAAAGAACATATAAACACACGAGTTTGGTCCGGTCTTAAAGGCTTACTTGGCTTTCCAGTATTTTCTTCACACTTGCTGAACAACCACCACATGTCATCCCCTTCAATTAAATACAACATCCATGTTGGTAACACAACAGTGTTGAAGTAAACTCAAAATCATCAAACAATTCAGATAGAGGGAGACTTACTCCAACATCGAGGATAATTATGTCTGAAGACGGAACAGAGACGCCAGCACCCAACTTTGTTTTCGATTCACCACTACCCGATCCTCCTCCTCCTCCACCACCGCTTCCACCATTATACCCTCCAAATCCAGAACCACCACCACCACTTGAGATACTCCTGAAAGACGGAGACGAGCTGGACAAGCACTGCAAACGACGCCGTATCACCGGCAAAACAGCAGCTCCGAAGCTTCTATAACAAAGCGAATTCGACGAGTTGATTCGGCCTGCGTGAAAGCAACCAAGACGACGCGCGGCAGGAGAGGAGCGAGCGAGCAATAGAGGACGGAGATGCCTAGCGCCGGAAAAGTGGCGGTGAAGAGCTTTAGAGATAGTGAGGAGAGGCAAAGAAGGAGCAGTAGTTCTAGCCATCGCCGTAACGGTTGAGAAAGCGGCGAATGTAGACTCCATGGATGGAGGGTGGCTCCTGAGCCTCTCGTTATCTTTGTTGTGATTTCAGTCTGAAAATCTGATACGACTTTGTGGTTTGTCAAAAAAGTTTTATGTCTTTTTGAGTCAAAAACTTACAACAGATTGAACAGACTTTTCGTGGTAATAATATTTGACTCTTTCTTCCGCTGCGTGACGACGAATTAATTAGGCGTAAACACATTTTTCCAAAACCAAATCGAACTAAGACCATTATTAGCCCAACCTCGGGTGAGTTTATTAGCCGAATTTAACAAACTGTTTCTTCACTTTTAACTAAGAAAAATTAAGAACCAATTTTTAAAATTTTTATTTGAAAACCAGTTCTTAATTTTTTTATTTAAAAATTAAGAAATAGTTTCTTAAATTTTGCTAAGAATCTCACTATAAAAATTTTAGGTTGATTATGGTCTAAACCATTTTAAATCTTATCAATTATTTGAATGGATTTATATCTTTATAATTGAATGGATTTTAAAAAATAATAATAATTGAAAGGACTTTTATCTTCAGAATCGACAACCTAAATAAAACCAGGATAAAAAAAAACTGAAAGAATACTATAATTTATATATTTATAAACATTAACTATATTTAGTTTTAAAATTAATCTTTTATTGATAAATGAAATACTCAAAAAATCAATTTACCAAACTGTCTAAATTTATATGAAAACCTGAAATTGTTCTGAAATTTAACCCGGTTTTTAGTCTCAGATGTAACTATAAATCTAAGTATTTTTTAAATATTTTAATTTTCTAAATATCGTTATGAATTATTAACCTCTAGAACCGAACCAAAACTTTTAACTGATTTACCGACCGGTTTATTAAGGCAAACCGTGTATTAAGTAACAAGTAGAGTTTAAAGACCAAAGCATAACCAAACACAAAAAACAACCATTGTTTACTTTTACGTCTTTACCAGTATGCAAGCCAAACTTAAGAGAGCCTCTCTATACACATCATATCATAATTGGGGGATAAAGGTATTGTCTTCTTATGCCCTCTAGAATCCAATAGAGGACAGAAGGCTTCCGGAACCGAGTCTTCTCTTTCTCAGACGCTCAGCGATGATGAAGGCAAGTTCCAGTGACTGAGAAGCGTTGAGTCTCGGGTCACAGTGAGTGTGGTAACGTGAGCTTAGATCGTTGTAAGTGATGGTGCGTGACCCTCCAACACATTCCGTCACGTTTTGACCAGTCATCTCTAGATGGACTCCACCAGGGAAGCTACCTTCTTGATCATGCACGTCGAAGAACGCTCTCAACTCCGCCTGATACATAAGATCAATGAGCAAAATACATGAACTATGAGCAAGATCATACGAGATGGATGTTGGATCATACCCTGATTGCATCGAAAGAACGAGTTTTAAGCCCACTTGGAGCCATGATGGTGTTCCCGTGCATTGGATCACTAACCCAAGTCACAATCTGACCAGCTCCACGTACTGCTCTGATCAAATGAGGAAGCTTCACCCTCATATTCTCAGCTCCCATTCTCACTATAACCGTGATCCTTCCAGGCTTGTTCTGTGGGTTTAGTATCTCTATCAGCTTCACCAGTTCACTAGGCACCATCTTATCACTCACCTGAGTCCAAAAATACACAATCAAGATTAGGAAACTAAACAGTAATCAAGATTATACTGAGTCACGTACCTTGATTCCAAGAGGGTTAGCGATTCCTCTCAAGAACTCAACATGAGCACCGTCGAGTTGGCGAGTTCTTTCCCCAACCCAAACCATGTGAGCAGAGCAGTCATAGTAAAGTCCAGACGTTGAGTCTTCTCTTGTGAGTGCTTGCTCATAAGGCAGTAGCAAGCACTCGTGGGATGTCCAAAACTCAGTAGTAGTCATGATCGGGTGTGCATTAGTAAGTCCAGCTGCACCCATGAATCCTAAAGCCTCATCAACTCTATTAGCCAATTCACGGTACCTAATTTCATCACAACAACAACAGTTTCTGACTTAACCAAAGCTTGTCTCCAAATGATTATAACACAAGTTAAGAGAGGAGCTTGAGCAAACCTGTCGCCTTGTTCACTATGTTGGCTGAAATCAAGATTCCACTGGCTAACTCTCTGCATTGCAGCGTAACCACCAGTAGCAAATGCTCTCAAGAGATTCAACGTAGCCACAGATTGTGTATACGCTCTAACCATCCTATGAGGATCCGGAATCCTCGATTTCTCATCAAAAGCATCACCGTTTATGTTGTCTCCTCTGTAACTCGGCAGCTTCACGCCATTTTTCTCCTCAAACGGGTCTGATCTTGGCTTAGCAAACTGACCCGCCATTCTCCCCACCTGAAACACACAAAACCCAACAAACAAAACATAAACTTCCAACAACCAAATGAACACAACAAGACACAAGAACAATCAGAGTTAAAAAAACCGAACCTTAATACACAGAATCAACACACAAGACTCAAAAACAAAACAGAGCTGAGTGAAAAATCGAACCTTAATACACAGAATCAACTGACAAGACTCAAAACAAAACAGAGTTGACCTAAAAATCGAACCTTTATACACAGAACCAACACACAAGACTCAAAAACAAACAGAGTTAACCTAAAAATCGAACCTTTATACACAGAACCAACACACAACACTCAAAACAAAACAGAGTTGAGTGAAAAATCGAACCTTTATACACAAAATCAACACACGAGACTCAAAACAGAACACACTTGATGACTTGAGTGAAAAACCGAACATTGATACTCAACCGAATCACACAAGACTCAATACAAAAAACAGAGTTTGAGTTAAGAAAAATTCGAACCTTGATAACAGGCATCTGACCACCGAACATGAGAACAACACCCATCTGAAGAAGAACCCTAAAGGTATCCCTAATGTTATCAGCGTTGAACTCCTTGAAACTCTCAGCACAATCCCCTCCTTGTAGCATAAAGGCCTGACCCATAGCAGCTTGACCAAGCTTCTCCTCGAGTTTCCTCGCCTCTCCAGCGAAGACGATGGGAGGGTAAGAGGAAAGCGTCTCTAGAACAGAGTCTAGATCCTTCTGATCTGGATACTCCGGCAATTGCAAAGCTTTCATCGATTTCCAGCTGTCTAAGCTCCATTTACCCGGACGGGAGGATGATTCTTGTGGAGATTTCTTGGGATCGGTTGAGTGGACGGCGAAGACGGGGGAGAAGGAGATCGGACGGCGAGGAGGGGCTCGGTGGGGGAGGAACGATTTGGTTGGGAGAGGAGAAGAAGAAGAAAGGTTGAGAGTCGTCACCATCTTCTCTGCTTTGGAGATTTGACGACTGGTTCGCCAGAGAGGATAGAGAAAGATAAAAAAGGTTAGATTTTTATAAGAAAAGTAAACACATCTGATTATGTAAGAAAAATATTAGCCACGTGTCAGGCGTGTAGCGAACACATCTGAGTGAAACAGAGGGTCACCACTGGGTTTTTATCTTCTTTATATCGTGTCTCTAAAGCAACATGTGACTGTTACAGACTAAAGTTAGCGTTAATGGCAGATCCTTTGATCCTTTCTCTTCAGCCTCCTCCCTTTCTGATCTTCCCTTCTTCTCTTCACCGTAGATGGGGTTTGTCTCGGAGACTTCCCAGTGGATTCTCTGTTTCGGAGTTGAGATTGTCTTCTCAACTACGTTTGGCTAATTCTACTTCACCTTCACAGTCTTCTACGGCTCCGGAGAAGCTTGATCTTGTGTCTAGCACTCGTAAGCTCGTGTTTCCTCCTGTTTCTTTAGTTTCTCTTTCTCTTTGAACTCAGTCTAGTGTCTTGGGCACAGTTTGGTTCTTTTTTGAAGTGTCTGAAGCCTCAACTTGTAGATTATTATCAAACATAAGCTCTTCTGTAGTTTCAAATTTTCTGATGATGTTTTTTAAAAAAAATTCAGTGTCGAAATTGTATATATTGATTCGGTTTGAAGTCTGGTACTTATTGTTGTTTGGATCTGCAGAGCTCAAGGATGGAAGCCATGTCTTCAGATTCGGAGATGCAAGTGAAATTGAAAGGTATCTTGAGAATGAAGAAAAAGCGAGATGCTTAGAGTTAGAGAAGAAGCAACATGCAAAGATCGCAGAAGAAGCCAGTGAAGAAGTGAGAGATGGACATGCATTGGTAGATCTTGATCGTGTTTCTGAACTGGAGTCTCCCAAGGAAAAATCTGCTGTGAAGAAAAAACCGGTCAGGTCTAGTATTGAATTATTTTCTGAGAAAGAGGAAGGTGCTGTACCTGTCGGTCTCAGTAATGTGATCAAAATTAAGGATCGTAAAAGGTTTCGTTCTCCTGTTAAGAAAAAGAAAGAAACGCCAAGTCCAGTGGATGTTTTGGGGAGTGAAGATGAAGTTGAAGCCAAAGTTGCTGGTGTGTCTAATCTGAGCTCCATAGCTAGTGTAGCAGATAGCTCTACTGAAGAAAAAGCGGGGGTTTCTAGGAAATCTGAGCCGATCAAAGAGAATGTAAAGCCATTTTCTTCTGAAGTCATGGAAAATGATGAAGTTGAAAGAGAAGTTGCTAGTGTATCTAATCTGAGCTCTATTGTTAGTGGAGTTGAAGCTATTCCTAGTAGCTCTTCTGAAGAAAAAGCTGTTGTTTCTAGGGAATCTGAGCGGATCAATGAGAATGTAGAACCACTTTCTTCTGAAGTTATCGAGAAAGTCTCAGTAAATGAAATGAAAGACTGTGAGACAAATGGTTATCAACAACTCACTGAGAATCGTGTGGAGGTGCAAGCAAGACCAGGATCATCTACTTCACAACATGACTCACAGTTGAATGGTCTCAAGGAAGTTATGAAGGTCTCTACCATTGAAATTGATGACAATTTGGATGAGATGGAAGACCTGATGAAGACTTTTGAAGCTGAGGAAAATCTTGTCGTTGGACCAACAGCTACAGTTGAACTTGATGTGGCTCCTGATGAAATAGTTGTTGTGTCTCCTGATGAAAATCTTGTCATTGAACCAACAGCTACAGTTTCTGTGTCTCCTGATGAAATAGTTGTTGTGGCTCCTGATGAAAATCTTGTCGCTGAACCAACAGCTACAGTTTCTGTGGCTCCTGATGAAAATCTTGTCGCTGAACCAACAGCTACAGTTTCTGTGGCTCCTGATGAAAATCTTGTCGCTGAACCAACAGCTACAGTTTCTGTGTCTCCTGATGAACTAGTTGCTGTGTCTCCTGATGAACTAGTTGCTGTGTCTCCTGATGAACTAATTTCAACTTCCGAAGCAACAAATCACAGCGCTGACGAGATTGCTGAAACGCCTGTAATTAATACGTCTGAAGTGGTGAGTCCTAAGTCTAAACCATTAAGCAGTTTTTAACAGTTATAGAAGGAAACAGTCATAAGAGAGTGTCTTTCAACAGCCATCTCTCTAATTACTTTTCATTCTTATTTAGGCAAATGACGGAGAAAATGTGGCTTCAACCATAGAAGATGAAGTAGCTGTGATTGACAGTAAAAATGATAATGGTAGCATATCTAAAACTGTCAATGACACAAATGATGAAGATCTCCAACTTCCTGAACCTGAAACTGCCGATGTTCAACCCATTGAAGTGGCTTCAGACAGGTTAGTCAGTGAACTATACTACTTGTCTTGTATATATACATATTTGCATGCATACAATGTACATATAAAAGCATGCTTGTTTTGCTGTGCTTGGATGTTTGACATCTAAACAGGGAAGAGCTCGTCGTGTCCAAAGCATTTTACTTGGAATCTGGTTCTGCTTCACTCCAAAACCCCTCTAAGGTACCTGTGATTCCTTCTGTTTGCAGTTCACTTGTTTTCAACATGTACAAGTAGTTGATTCAATATCACCTTCTGCATTTTCATCAGATTCATCACAATCTCCTTTCAAAATTCTGACAGTTTCAGATAATTTGTGAAAAGGATTTGACCCTATGGCATATTATTAGTATTAAAGTTATCACAGCACAATAAAGAAACAGTAGCTCTAATTGTTAAATACTTTAAACATTATATTATATGGTTAGTAATGTAAAAGTAATGATGTCCAGGCATTGGCAGGTCGGGAAGATGCTTATTTCATCTCTCACAACAACTGGCTAGGTGTTGCAGACGGAGTCTCTCAGTGGTCTTTCGAAGGTACGTTCAAAGTCACTTGTAGCTGTTTCTTATCGACTGTAATGTTTGGTTCCATCTTTCAGAAATCAACGAGGGGATGTATGCCCAAGAACTCATGAGCAACTGTGAAAAGATTATCTCTGATGAAACCGCAGAGATATGTGACCCAGTTCAAGTCCTTCATAGAAGTGTCAATGAGACTAAGTCATCTGGATCATCCACAGCCTTGATTGGTCATCTAAGCAATAATGTGAGACTTGGTTAAAATTGACAATCCTTTTACTGTGCGTGGAGACTAGAGTCAGACTGTGATCATGTAAAAACTACTTTGTAGGAACTCCACATTGCCAATGCTGGAGACTCAGGATTCATCGTTATCAGGAACAGAAGAGTATTGCAGAAGTCATCTCCTATGTTTCATCATTTTTGTTTTCCCTTGCACATTACACGAGGCGATGATGTCCTAAAACTTGCAGAGGTACGAGTTGGTTTTATTGCTTTCCAAGTAGCAGACAGACATACACTCTTGAATACTTTATTTAAATATATTGCGGTGTTGTTTCACACAAACTTACAGGTTTACCATGTGAATGTGGAAGAGGGTGATGTTGTCATTACAGCAACTGATGGGCTCTTTGATAACTTGTATGAGAAAGAGATTGTTTCAATAGTTTGCAGGTTACTGGAACAGGGTTTGGAACCTCAGGTGCTCTCAATGTTGCATTATTACATCAATTGTTGTTGAAGTGTGTTGATTAGTATATTGTTGTTGTAGCAGAGAATAGCAGAGTTGTTAGCTACAAAGGCACAAGAGGTGGGACGATCTGAGACAGAGAGAACTCCATTTGCAGACGCAGCTAAAGAAGAAGGACATGATGGATACAAAGGTGGTAAACTTGATGCAGTTACTGTCATTGTTTCACTCGTAAAAACTGTCTCTATCTAATGTATGCATCTTCCTTACTCCCACTGTAAATAAAGAGATAGAAATATTATAGTACGCACATCTTGTTTGTTGGTTTCTCTATTCTTTAATTGAAATGATGTACAATGAGGTGAAAACTGATTACAACTAAGTGGTGGAATAGAACAGGATCCCGTGAACATAGACAGGGGCGGATGTATTTGGTTACGTTGGTTTATTGCGTCCACTAACAGAAAGTCTGCCCGTTTTTTTAGCAAATCATTTGAATCCATAATAAGTACATAGTTTACCGAAAATATCAAGAGAAAAATGCCAAAAAAAATCATGAACTTTAAAATTTATGCCAAAAAAGCTTGAACTTATGTTTAAGCAAAAAAAGCTTCAATCTTTTTTAAATAGTCAATTTAAATTCTAAATTTCGTTGTCTGAGCCAAATCAGAAACTCAATTAAGTCCACGGTTAATTCATCAAACGTCTGTTAAGTTGCAAAACGACGTCATTTTTAAAATTGATTCACACGTAACAAAACTACGTCGTTTTGTATATTTTCCTTTTTATTTTCTCTTCTTCTTCTTCTCTGTCGTAAAAGAGAAGAAGAAGAAAATATAAAAAAAGGAAGATATACAAAACGACGTCGTTTTGTTACTTATGAATCAATTTTCAAAACGGCGTCGTTTTGCAACTTAACAGACGTTTGATGAATTAACCACGGACTTAATTGGGTTTCTGATTTCGCCCATTCAACAAAATTTAGAATTTAAATTGGCTATTTAAAAATGATTAGAGTTTTTTTGGCTTAAACATAAGTTCAAGTTTTTTTGTCCTAAATTTGAAAGTTCACGTTTTTTTTACCGTTTTCTCAAAATATCAATGTATACTAGTTTTTGACAATAACAAAGAGAGAGAGAAAGAAAGAAACGAAAACAAAAGGAGGCATACATATATTGTTGTTGTCAGAAGTTGTGAAATGGTTCCAAAAGAGAGAGTCACGGCAACTTCCATCTAATATGCTTTTTGCAGACCAAAGTGAGCTTCCAAATGTGAGTATGTAATCAACAGTCTCGGATAGAACATTGCAACCCCTCTCTTTATTTAAAACGATGTACAATCATGTAAGTACTGATTACAACTAAGAGGTGGAACATGACATGATCTAGTGAACAAAGCTTGGTGTTTCATGCTTCCAGTTAGGGCTAACCGAATAAACCCGCCAAACCAAAATTTTGGTTAGTTCTGTTCAGTTTGGTAGTTTTTCTAAAAGAATATTCAGTTTTTGATGATTTTTTTAGAAAAAAATTATACCCAAAACATTCGAAAAACTTTAACCGAACAAATTATATTTCAAATTAAACAACCGAATTTATCAAAATTTTAATAAAATTAAGCAGAAATCAAAAATTTCCATAAGATTATTAAAAATACCACTTAGTCAGTAAATAAAGTATGAACAAAATATTTTTTTACAAAAAACAGTATAGGAGTTTAAGGTTCCGATTGGTGATTAAGCTGTGACTGTTGAGACTTTATCTAAATTCTAAAGTCTTTAAAGTCAATTTATTGTCATTCAGACTTTAAACTCTCTAAAGTGTTAAAAATTCTCCTTAAATTTCTCACAGCCATAGTAACTGATTTTACACTTTAAGTTCTTTGTTTTTCTTCAAACCACAATTCCATGTTTTTTAAATATTTCTAAAGCCATATTAAATATTTCAACTGCAACGGTTCTAACAGCCAAATTAAATTTTAAAGCCTTGGCAACAAAAGTCTTTACGGTCTCAAACAATCAGAATCTAAAATTCATCTGCCTAAACAATAATTCTCTAGAAAACGCGTAAACACGATTTTTAAACATTGAGATTTTGAAAAACCAAATTAACCAAACCGAACTACTCGAACCGAATAACCCGCATGCCTACGAGTTCCAGTGCTAGAATGAATAGACCGCCCAATCTCAATCGCTACAAACATTGGGCCGGTCCAGATAATGAAGCCCTAAAACCAACACTTAACTCTCTCTCCCTCTCTCTCATCTCCAGTCTCTCTCTAGGAGCCCTTTCAGACAAGACACCAAGATGAAGTCTTTACTGAGAAATGCCTCCACAACCTTAAACCCTAACACCAAAATTTTCACAAAGCTTCTCCCTTTAATCCACCAAACCCTCACAAAACCCTTCTCCCAATCAACCACCATCCCCACAAAACAAGACCGAGTCCGCGACCATGGCTACGACAACTACATGGAAGTTGAGAAAAAAATCCGCAAAGTCGTCAAATTTCACAACCTAATCCTCTCACAACCCCAAAACACAATCCCAATCTCTCTCCTCGACAACTTAGCTCGCCGCTTAGGCCTCGGCTTCAAGCAGCACGAGCCTGGCGCTTTCCTCCTCAAGTTTCCTCACGTCTTCGAAGTCTACGAGCATCCTGTTCAGAGAATACTCTACTGTAGGTTAACAAGAAAGGCTCTTGATCAGATCCGTGATGAGCAAGAAGCTGTGATCTCTCAGATACCTGAGGCTGTTACTAGGTTGAGGAAACTTGTTATGATGTCTAACACTGGTCGGATTCGGTTAGAACACGTTAGGATTGCTAGGAGTGAGTTTGGTCTCCCTGAGGATTTTGAGTACTCTGTGATTTTGAAACATCCTGAGTTCTTTAGGCTTGTGGATGCTGATGAGACTAGAGATAAGTATATAGAGATTGTTGGTAGAGAAGAGAGTTTAACTCATTGTGCTATAGAGAGAGTTAGAGAAGTTGAGTATAGGACGAAAGGGATAGACGCAGAGGATGTTAGATTCTCTTTCATTGTGAACTTTCCTCCTGGTTTTAAGATTGGGAAGTACTTTCGTATCGCTGTTTGGAAATGGCAGAGGCTTCCTTACTGGTCACCTTACGAGGACATCTCTGGTTATGATTTGAGATCGTTGGAAGCGCAGAAGAGGTTGGAGAAGAGAGCTGTTGCTTGTATCCACGAGTTGTTGTCTTTGACTGTTGAGAAGAAGATTACTCTTGAGAGGATTGCTCATTTCAGGAACGTTATGTGTTTGCCTAAGAAGCTGAAGGAGTTTCTTCTGCAGCATCAGGGGATATTCTATATATCGACACGTGGAAATTACGGGAAGCTTCATACTGTGTTTTTGAGAGAGGCGTATAAGAGAGGGGAGTTAGTGGAGCCGAATGAGGTTTATTTTGCTAGGAGGAAGTTGGCTGAGCTTGTGATGATGAGTCCTAGGAAGGCTAAGGTTGATGCTGAGCTTGTTAGGTACAGGAATGGATTTGATGATGAAGATGATAGTGAATGAGAAATGAAGATAAGAGTCTTTACATGATTGTGGAAGCCCACTCATTGTTGTGTGTTGGCTTTGAATTGAAGAAAGATGCCAAACAAGATTTGATTACTTCAGCTGCAAGATATACTTTGGGCACTACTCTTTCTCGTCAGTAATATTCTTTAACTCGATTCATGGATTTGGTCAGATACTATGAAACAACAACCTGGAATATTTGTTCCTTGAGTCCTATGGTTTAAGCTAAGAATCCTCTCTTACCTGTCTACTTATGCCAAGTCAAATAAAAATATTCTTTCTTTGCTTATTTATGCAAAAAGTCCTTGTACGCATTCAATATACAGACAATTTCTTGTAATAAATATCTTGACCGTGTAATGTCTTTGCCTCTGTCGTTTTCCACCTTCATCATCACCATCACGTGATTGGCTTATACAAACTTATTCTATCTTTATTTTATTTCACCTCACTAACCGTGAAGATGGTGAAAATGGATGTTCGTTTTATAATCCTGTTGATGGTGATGTCTCTGGTTCTGGGCTTTTCGTCGGCAGTTGATTTCAGATGGAGGAAAGGTGGGGCGTTTTCTGGTAGATTCACCAGAGCTAGCTCTTCAGTTGTATTCCCAGTTCATGGAAACGTTTATCCTCTTGGGTAACTTAACAAACTTATTACTTAACGGTCTCATTTCAGAAACGTTTTGTGTTTTTTCCTTTTCTAATTCCTTTTGGTTTGGAATAGGTATTATAATGTTACCATCAACATAGGACAACCACCAAGACCTTATTATCTTGATCTTGACACTGGTAGTGATCTCACTTGGCTCCAATGTGATGCTCCTTGTGTTCGTTGCTTGGAGGTATTGTAATAAGTGCTGTGTTTCTTATGGATCCAATGTCATAACTTCTACTAGCGAATTCACAAATTATTTTTTTTTTGGTTGCAGGCACCTCATCCACTTTATCAGCCTAGCAACGATCTGATTCCTTGCAATGATCCATTATGCAAGGCGATGCATTTGAATGGTAACCATAGATATGAAGCCGCAGAGCAATGTGACTATGAGGTTGAGTATGCTGATGGAGGATCTTCTCTCGGTGTACTCGTTAGAGATGTCTTCTCCTTAAACTATACTGAAGGTCTGCGGCTCACCCCACGTCTTGCTCTCGGGTATATAAATTTTTGGACCGACAGTTTTTACTTTAGCTCAAGTAATTAGTTTACCTCATTGGAGTTTCTTTTTGTGTAACAGATGCGGATACGATCAAATCCCAGGGGCTTCAAGTCATCATCCTCTAGATGGAGTATTGGGACTTGGTAGGGGGAAAGTAAGCATTCTCTCACAGCTTCATAGCCAAGGTCATGTCAAGAATGTTATTGGTCATTGCTTAAGCAGCCTAGGTGGAGGGATTCTGTTTTTTGGCAACGATCTTTATGATTCTTCAAGGGTCTCTTGGACACCAATGTCTCGCGAAAACTCGTAATTTACCTCTTCTCTTTGTTAACCGTATCACTCTCTTCGTGCTCTAATAATAACGTTTATTTATCTTTCAGAAAACACTATTCTCCTGCTATGGGAGGGGAACTTCTATTCGGGGGAAGAACAACGGGGTTGAAGAATCTAATGACAATATTTGATAGTGGCAGCTCGTACACGTATTTTAACTCCAAGGCGTACCAGGCAGTCACATACTTGGTAAGGAACTTGTTTAAACACCTTAGAAGATAAAGAGATGATTATTTTTCTTTTGTTGGTTAGCTAAAAAGAGAGCTAAGCGGAAAACCGTTGAAAGAAGCAAGGGATGATCACACGCTACCTCTATGTTGGCAAGGACGTAGACCGTTCATGAGCATAGAAGAAGTGAAGAAGTATTTCAAACCTCTAGCTTTAAGCTTCAAAACCGGGTGGAGATCAAAAACTCTGTTTGAAATCCCCCCAGAAGCTTATCTCATCATCTCTGTAAGCAGAATCTTCTCGTAGCAGTCTCTGACTTATTTTTAGCACAATTCTAACACAGCAAGTTGGTGTTATAAAAATGTTGCAGAGGAAGGGAAATGTATGTTTAGGAATCTTGAATGGCACAGAGATAGGACTCCAGAACTTAAACCTCATTGGAGGTAAAATCCTAACTGTACTATAACCATTAGCCGTTTCAGGAACAGAAAGTCATATTAAACTCTGTTTTTTATTTTGACAGATATATCGATGCAAGATCAGATGATAATCTATGACAATGAGAAACAATCCATCGGCTGGATCCCAGCTGATTGTGATGAACTTGCTTCACTACAAACTTCTGCTGCTCAAATTTATGAATATTGAGAAAATGCTATAATATATCTATTAGTTCATAAATCCTTTTTAAAGAAAGAAAACTGAGATGTAATAGATACAAACTTTATTGTAATGTACCTTCTAGATTTATACACATTACTGTAATGAATCTGAATTGGATTGTTCTGTCAAACTCTTTACATGTGTGAGATTTCGGTTTACTAATAATTGCAATAGAAGCCAAATTGGTTTAGACACGTGTAACCGGTTTACTATTTTGTTTTGGTTAAATCACTTTTACGGTCTCAAAACTTCAACACTATCTCTCCGGCGAATTCACTTTGCTCTCAAACTTCAACAACTTCAATGGCTTTTTCATTCTCCTTAACTTCGCCTTCACCAAGTTCGACTCTTTCCTACTCCAACATCCATCAATTCCCAAACCCATCTTCTTCATTTCCCGTCTCGTTATCCGTCTCCTCCCCGAGCAACACTCGCCCTCTTCGTCTCTTCATCACCTCCGCGTTGAATCCACAGACGAAGAAAGCTTCAACTGGTAGTGGTGGTGGTAGTAACACCAACAAGAAACGGAAGAAGAAGGGGAAAAGTGTGAAGCTTGAGGAGAATTGGGAAGTGAGAGATGCTGTTCCAGAGGAGGAAGATTATGATGATGATGGTGATGGTGGTTCTCTTGCAAACTCTCCTCCTACTATACCTAAACCACCTGCTGGGTTTGTGATTGATGAAACTGGTAGAGTTCTTATGGCTTCTAAGAAGCGAATAGCTACTGTCGTGAGTCACTCTTCTGTCCTTTTCCCGTAAAGCTTCACTCTTTGATGTTTTTTCTTGGTGATAAAAGGAGGATTTTTTGTTGTGAATGAGATAGGTTGATCCGACAAACAATAGTCCTTTGGATTGTGTAATAAGAAGAGTGTTTACAAGTAGTAAAGGAGAGGATTGTATGCTTCTTTGCCCTGTTGATACGTGAGTCAATCTTTTGATTCTCTTATCACATCTTAACAACTTTTTTCTTCTCTGCCTGATTGATATTTTTTTATTGCTTCAGGCCAGTTCAGATTTTGAAGAGCACAAACATAGATGGATGGTCAGCTGTAAGTTTTCTCTCCTTCATCAATCTTTCTCTCATTTCCATTGTTTGGAATAGTCATTTTTCTAGCTTTAAATTGCTTTGTTCAGGACCTTACCAATTTTTCTGACATTTTAGGTCAGTGATGAGGAGGTTGAATCTCTTCTTCCTGCTGCTGCTTATGCTCTTGCAAAGATCCATATGCATCTTGTACACAGCGGGTAGGAAAACAGTGCTCTGTTTCATGAATAATGAAAGCATGACACTTTTAAAATAGTTTCCTATGTTTCTTTGTGTTTGATACCATCTTATGGACACTTGAAACCAGGTTCTGTTACACTGCAAGGGGAGGATTTTGCTACACTGAAGATAATGTCTTCGATTTTCGCACAGGCAAGAGACTCTTTCTTTTGATATTCACTCCCTAACATCAGCTCTATATGACCACATTAAATAATCTTGGCTTTCTATTATTGTGGATTTAGGCTATCATTCTTTTATTTTTGATTGAGCTTCAGTCAAACTATAGAGTTACGAGTTTATAATGGATAATAAGTAGAAATCCTGTGAACTTGCATCCTTAGTAAAAAGTATGTGGTTATCTCATGTCTGTCTTCGTCCTCTCATGTTTAGTTCTAATTATGTACTTCACTCTAAGTGAGAGGTGTTTTTACGGGTATCCTAGCTTTATTACTTTCCTCATATCATTAAATGTGTAGAACATCAACTTTATGCAGATGATGGCCAAGATGTTGAAGGTTTGCCAACTGAAGGGGTTGAGATTACTTGTTTTCATCTGGTATACCATTTTCTTTCGGCATTTTTCTTATTGATAATTTGAGGTGTCTTTTAAGATGTTGTGAATATAGCACTTAATTTAAATGATTAAACACGACATTCAGTTTCTCAATGTGGTATGATTAGATCTGAAACGTATGTGTTGGAGTCCTGTAGAAACCAAAACTTCAATAGACCCTCGTTTGTTTTGGTTGTCTGAACATGAATTCTGAAATCAGGATGGATCACACTATATGGTCTACACGCCTTCAGATCCACTTCTCTTTGTTGCTGCTAAGGTAAATTTGTAAACTAATTGCTTCTATACCCAAGCTGTAGCTTTGTTCATGAAAAGAGAAACATATGGATGAGAAATAATAAATACCAACTCCATCTATGCAGGATCCGAATGGGCTACTGCAAATTGCTGATGATGTAAGTGTCCTCTCTATATTATACTAGAAAGCTGCAAACAGAGTGATGTTTCTAGTAAAATTAGAGAGCAAAAGCAAACAGAACATGGTTATTGGTTACTTTTAGTTCCTTGGTTTTGGAAGGGAGTATTGCGTCTAAGCTAACACTTGTATGCCAATGGGTTACAGGAGCTCCTAGACGACCCAGCCGTGATCAGTGCCATAGATGAGGAAACTGAATTCAATGCATTGGTGGTACGTACAGAACATCAACAACGTTTTACTTGTTTAAGAAAAAGAAAGTGATGTTAAAATGTTGTAAACTGGTGTTTTGGGCAGGAGGAAGAGGCGGCTCTTCTGGAATCATTGCTAGGGGAAGAAATTTAAAAGCTTTCATAGGGAGACCTACTTTACTTAGCTTTCTTTTATTTCTTCTTATGTTCCATATCAATGCTATTCCTTATCATGTTTTCCTGTTTATCATGGAAAAAAAATGCTTTTTTTCTATTGCAAATCTTTATCTTTATCTTTGGAATGTTAATTGAGTTCGATCATTTGTATGCAAAAGTAGATGTACAGAGACGTATATGGTTCAAACACCAAAGCCTAAAACTCCATTGATTAGCTCTGCCTCAGATGGACATATACTCATTTTCACTTTGAGCAATTTAATACGCATTTTCACTTAAATAATTTGTTTTTATGCTTCGGTGGGAGTGTGACCATAAAAAGCCTATCCATCCATTTGTTTTCTTTGTAATCTTCTTGCGGCTGCGTCCAACAACCATCTGAGCTTAGCTGAGAGAGACAATCAGTGTTCATGGCGCTTACCTTCCGGCCTCTCTCTGTTCCTCGTAATTCTCTTATTCCTTCTCTTCAGTGTCTTCTCTATCAGCTAGTGTTTCTATATGTGTTTTGTGTAAATTTTATTAATTTTGACATTCAATTGTAAAACAGTTTTGTCTGCTCCTCTTTTTTACGATTTTAATATTTAATTGGACGTTTAGTTGTTTCAGTTGAAGGATTGATGAGCTTCCCCTGTTTTCTCAGTGTGTTCTTTCTCTCTATATTGGAAATGACATTTTAATTGCTTTTTAGGAAGTGCTGAAATTTCTGGGATCAGAGGTTTTAATTTGCGGAATGGATTAAGTTTGTGGAGAAAACATCTTGTGAAACACAACAACATAGCTTACATTTGTTGCTCGTTTAGTACAGAGAAGGATCCTCTGTTACCTTCTATCCAGCAGTTAACCGATGCTCGTATCATATATAGTGTATCTGCTGCATTGGGTCATAACAAGGTTTCCCTTTTCTCTTACTTGCTCTGTACTTTCTTCTTTCTATCTTTTCTTTCACATTCTTTTGAATTTGTCATTTTGATCACAGGACTCACATCCGGAATGCAGTGCAAGAGTTCCTGCAATTGTCACAGCTCTGGAGAAGAATGAGCTCACTCCTAAGGTGATTAATCTCTTGACATTCATTTATTTTAATGTAAATCTCAAGAAGATGCAGACCATTATGTATATGTCTCTCTGAATCACAATTCTTGTGGAAAGTTATCTTAACTTGAAGTTTTGTAGGATTGGTCCTACACTTTTCTGCAGTTAGATTATCATATGAATTACTTTTTTTTGTATAGAATTGCGCATTTTCTTCTCACATACAAACTATTTAGAATTTTTCCAACAGATTTTTGTATATATGTAGTAGGTCTACCTTTGTTGTATTTCACCATTCAGTCTTCAAAGCCTTATTTTTCGTTTCTACGATGCTCTTACCGACAAAGCTAAGCAGGATATCTATATATGAACTTCTCATATGTGATTTCTTTTTTGTTTTCTTTGTGCGTTTCCAGTTCCGTGGCTCAGAGATTCTTGAACTCGCAAGTTTTAAGAATGCGACTATAGAAGACGTTGCAAGTGTTCACGAAAAGGCTTATGTCTTAGGCCTGGAAAAGGTTATTTACTTTCTTCATGTTATATTATTAAAGCATCTATCGAGTTAAATTTATCTGACCATTTACAAATTCATTCTAAGTTTAGGCAATGGATCAAGCTTCCGATTCAGGACTAATTTTCATTGAAGGTTCCGGACCAACATACGCCACTTCAACAGTAACTTCTTTGTGCCTTTTACATCTCCAAAAGAATCATACTCCCTGTCTAAATCTCTTCCCTCTCTCCCAGACATTCCAAGACTCACTTATCGCAGCAGGAGCAGGAATGGCTTTAATTGATTCAGTGGTGATGTCTCATCTCACCATGTTAGCCTTGCTTTACTGCTTCAGATTCATTAACGTTGGAAATGGCTGTATAGATTTCTTAGCAACTTGATGATGACTATATATGTTTCAGGTCGCAGCATCAAGAAACAGCCTTGACCCTCCAACTGGCTTTGCATTGATAAGACCACCAGGACACCACGCTGTCCCAAAAGGTCCAATGGGTTTCTGCGTTTTTGGTAATGTGGCAATCGCAGCTCGTCATGCCCAACGAGCACATGGTCTGAAACGTGTCTTTATTATTGACTTCGATGTTCACCATGGAAATGGCACAAACGATGCGTTTTCAGAAGATCCTGATATATTCTTTTTGTCCACTCATCAGGTACGTACGCCTTACTTGTTTCTTTATTCCAACAAGTCGTTATGTTTATGTCTGAAACAAAAATTTACAGGATGGAAGCTATCCTGGAACAGGGAAGATGAATGACATAGGCAAAGGAAAAGGTGAAGGCACCACTCTAAACTTACCATTACCTGGAGGATCAGGTGATATTGCAATGAGAACTACTTTTGAAGAAATCATTGTCCCATGTGTTCAACGTTTCAAGCCAGATCTTATCCTTGTCTCCGCCGGGTAAGTAGAGATACTTATTAGTTTATTTTTTACATAAGTTTAATCTGTTTCTACATATTTGGTTAGGTATGATGCTCATGTTCTTGATCCACTAGCGAATCTACAGTTCACAACCGGAACATACTACTCATTGGCGAAAGATATAAAACAGTTAGCTAAAGAAGTATGTGGAGGGCGTTGTGTCTTCTTCTTGGAAGGAGGATACAATCTTGAGTCACTTTCAGCATCAGTAGCAGATTCCTTTCGAGCATTGCTTGGGGAAGAAAGCTTGGCATCAGAGTTTGATAACCCAGCTTACTTGTATGATGAACCGATGAGGAAGGTGCGTGATGCAATTGAGAGAGCCAAAAGCATTCATTGTTTATAAAGTGTATTTGGTTCAACTGTTTACAAATGTTGTGATTAGATGTAAATAATATTATCAAAACTTCCACGTTTACCTATAGATTCCAAGAAAATGTCTCACTGCGCCGGCCAACGGCTATTAAATAAAATAGTAAATAGAATATAAATCGTTGGGAAGAAGTAGAGCTCTGTTGTTTACGTTATCTACAACAGTCTTCATGCAAATCGAAATTGCATTGTCAACTGCTTCATCTTAAAACCAAACCGACACGTGCATAGCAGCCACCATTCTTGACATGTCACGTGTCCAAAATATAACCGACTTAGCCCGCCCTAACACGCCATGTTGCGTGACACAGCTTCTTATCTCTTTTTTTATTTGTCCCCACATCGTACTTACTAATTACTATATATAAACACATGCGATATCTTTTAAATGATTCATTTCTGGGAGAAGATAGTGTAATAATACCAAAACTCTTGAGAGATTCATCAGTTTTTTTCTTGAAGATAATGAAAATGGAAGTAGGCAAGAGGATGGAGATGTTAGAGAGGAAGTCGTCTATAGAGACAGAGCCTATGACATTGCATCTCGATCAAATAGAAAATGCTCGAGAGGAAGCATTGTTTGTGATGAAAACAAAGACATTTCAGGAAGCTATGGATATTTTCACAAAGGTTTATTACTAATGATTTTACTTGATCAATTTTCTACGATTTTCTTTTTTCTATTCTTTTGTAACATTTTTATCAATCAATGCAGGAGACGCAAGAGGGGTTAAGGGATGAGGAGGAGAAAAGAGGAAGAAGATGTTTAGATTTGAAGGACTATGAATATGATGATGAAGACGAGAGATTAATCTTTCTTGATCCTCTTGGTTGGGACATTGTCTCAGCTCCATTTTAATTACAAGAAACGTTTTCATCTCTCTTTTTAGTTTTCCTATACTCCTCAAATTAGTCCTTCTTGTAAATATATGTAATTATGTATGGTAAAAGATGTTTTGGTGGTCTTGTAAAAGAAGTTTTTGATACTGAACTGAATACACGTTCTATATTTTCAAATCTTCGTCTATTTGAAAATTAGAAACCATTAATTATAGGCGGTTAAAAAGAAAGAAACCATTGTAAACAAGGATGTTATTTCATTATAAGTGAAACAGGTTTTGTAATGGAAAGAAACGCTTGAAGTTGAATGTTAAAAACAAAACACAAAACCGGAAAAAAATTAAATTAAACCGGATCAAACCAAACCGAATGCTTTTAAACTCGTCTACCGGTTCGGTAAAACTTCTTCTGTTGAGAGAAAGAAGAAGGGAAGCAGCAAGCAACATCAAAATCTCATTAGAGATGACTCCGATGAACGCCAACTGTTTATTCTCACCTTCTCCTCCTACTCAACTCTTCCCTCTCCGCTCTACATCGAGTGTACCTCCTTCTGTTTACCGCATAACAGGAATCTCCCATGATTCCGCCGCCGTTGAGTGTCGGAATCTCTGTTTCTCCGCCACTACAAGACCGGGAATTTCTGTCCCTATTCTCCGTGACTGCTCCTTTCGGATTCCTTCTGGACAGTTATGGATGCTTCTTGGTCCCAATGGCTGTGGCAAATCCACCCTTCTCAAGGTCTCTCTCTCTGCAAGTTCTTGTTTTTGTTAGTCCTTAGAATTGCTCTTATAGTCAGTGACACAGTTTAAAGACTAAAGCAATAGAATGAGTCAGGGAAAGGTCTAATCTTTCGATGCTGCTTGTGTGTGTGTGTGTGTGTGTGACTTGTGTATCTTCATTAACTCTGCTTTTGGAAAGTCTGCAGATTTTAGCAGGTGTAGTGAATCCAACTAGTGGCACTGTCTTTGTGGAAAAGCCCAAGAATTTTGTGTTTCAGAATCCTGATCATCAGGTTTATCTTTCTTGCTTCTAAAATTTAGTTCATCTATTTGTATTTTTTATGTTAAAAGAATCACACTTTATGAACCTAAGCAATCTATTTTGGTTGCCACTTCTAATACAAATCAGTAGATACGATCACTGTGGCTTAGTCTGGAATGTTGTTTTTGTCATATGGCAGGTAGTGATGCCTACTGTAGAAGCTGATGTAGCGTTTGGTCTTGGCAAGTATCCTGACATGGGTCTAGAAGAAGTTAAGTCTAGGGTTATTGCAGCTTTGGATGCTGTTGGTATGCGTGATTATATGCAGGTTGGATTTATGTTAGTTGAATTACCAAAGAATTGTTTTTATCCTGATTCCATTATTTATGATATAATTTAGAGTCTGTTTGTTGGTTCCAGAGACCGATTCAAACTCTAAGTGGTGGTCAGAAACAAAGAGTCGCCATTGCTGGTGCTTTAGCTGAAGCTTGCAAAGTGCTGTTGTTAGATGAGCTCACAACCTTCCTTGATGAGTCTGACCAGGTAATCGTTTTATTTAACTCTAACAAAATTGTTAATGAAACGCTAGTTGTGTTATGACTTATGAGAATTCAGCATATGATTGCTGAGCTACCTTAATCTTGTAGTATGTATGATAGACACTGGAAGTGAGTAATAGAATATGAAATGAATTCAACAGCTCGTAATCTTCCCTTCATCGATGTTTTTTTCACAGTTGGGTGTTATTAAAGCTGTTAAAGAGTTAATAAATGCAAAGAAAGGAGGAGATGTGACTGCTTTATGGGTGACACATCGGCTAGAGGAGCTCGAGTATGCGGATGGAGCTGTGTATATGGAGAATGGGAGGGTGGTCAGGCATGGTGATGCAGCCACCATCCTTGATTTCATTAAAGCCAAACAATCGTCTTACATTGACCAAATCGGTTTTTAGTTTCTATTGTCACCACTCTCAGTGTTTTTCCATAGACTGATTCAAACTCTCAGTGGTAGTAAAAGTTGTAGTATATATAGAGACTTGAAAAGGCAATAAAAGCTGGAGATTTTAACTAAGCTTTTGTAAAAGACTGTCATGTACTTCTGCAGACACTAGTATGCTATTATCTAATTAACAGAGCAAAGTTCATTACTCACCGGATCTAAAGCAAAAATCAGTTCACTTTTAAATAGCACAAAGGTGGAGGCGTTAATCAGTGAACACTTTAATACGTTGACCTACACACATAATGGATTTACCGTGTGGCTTGTGATAACTATATTTGTTTTGTACTTACAAAATTTCCAGATCTCTGGCTCATATTCTCTTTAGGTCCAAATGTTTACACACACTGTATTTAGATTTGAACATTCCAGTAGCATTGAAACAACATCTAACATGAACATGTTGAACTAAGCCAATGGTATAAGACTTCTGGTTTGTTTGCTTTTCTTATAATCGATTTACAGCTACTCGTATCTTCGAAAAATACGAATTTTTTAGCTTAAATAGTAATCAGAAAAATATAAGATGGAATGCAACAAAATCTCTACAATATTATTTGAGAAGTCAGTTTCCTACGTGTCGTGCTCACGTTAACTTTCGCGATGGTTGATTACATAGATACCCTTAATGAATTGTTAGATTTTAAGATTATTTTTTATTTAATTATTTTTTACCTTTTTCCCAATAACATATATAATAAAAAGGAAATATTTCTAAAATTTTAAAACAAATTTTAAAACGAAATATATGTATATAATAGGACTTTATTAAAAAGAAAAGTTCACAAAATAATAATACCCCCATAAAATATATATGTTCAAAATAATAAAAATATATATGTTTATGAACATCCAAAATTTTATCAGTTACACTTTATTTTCTAAGCGATAAATAAAACTAATTTGATTTGACTTAACTAAAATAAAAAGTAACTTTACTTCAATTTTAATTTAAAAATATATTTAACTCAATGTACTCACAAAATGAATGACTCAAGAACATATAATTTTATAACAATAATAATAATCTATTTAATTTTATACATATAAATTAGAATTTGACTCAAAGCATATTAAAAAGAAAAAGAAAATATTAACCAAATACAATTTAATTCTTTTTAGAATTTATTACAATTTATTCTTTTTATCAAATTACAATTTGATTCTCTTGTAGAATTATATGTGCATGAGACTTCAAAATATTATCATTATATTCATTTATGTAATTTTGAATCAAAAAATTTAGCTTATTATTTCTTTTCATTTTAAGCACAGTATATTACGTTATACATAATTTAACCATAATATATTTACATATCTAAGAATATATTTACATATCTAAAGACAATAACCAACTGAAATAAAAATAAGAAAATTAATAAAATTTCTATTATATTTAGAATAAAAAAATATTATAGCTGAATTCGAAAAATAGATATCATCCAATATACCAAATTGATAACCAAGCCGACTATTGATCCAAAATATAATTAAACTGAAATAATATATCCAAAGTCATATTTATAATTAGAATAATATAATATTAATTAATATAAATTATACATATAAATTGATTCAAAACTAAAACTAAATATCAATTTTATTATAAAATTTTACTTTTATGAATATTCATACCCGTGCATGAGCACGGGAAAATCACCTAGTAATACGTATTTTTGGGAAAATAATACGTCAATGCAGGTTGGCTGTGAACAAGTCTACATGGACTTCAAATCATCAAAATTATTTGCTTTATAAGTAAAAAAATATAAATAAATATATGCTCTAAGTTCAGATAAAAGCTTGCATTCGTAACTCCAAAGTGTGTGTGATACTTGATGATCATGTTGGTATAGAATAGCACGGACTGGTGATAAAAAAAAATTGTTTTAAGTTAACCAATTTTCTGTTAAGATGAGTATAATAAGCATATTATATAAAATGAAGGGGTGTCTTGTAAAAAGAAGAAAAGTGACTTATCATCTATAACCCTAAGAGAAGAGAAGAGAAACCAAGACCAACCCTCTCTATTATATTCCTTTTATTTTTCTTTCTTTTTGTCTTAATTTTCACCCTTTTTATCATTTCACCTTAGACTAATCAATCATATTCCTCTTTCTTCAACATTTTCTCTGTTTGATGTAGGTGAAGATAGAGATAGTATCCATGGAAATGTCTAGAGGAAGCAACAGTTTTGACAATAAGAAAACTAGTTGTCAAAGAGGTCACTGGAGACCTATTGAAGACGACCATCTCCGGCAACTCGTGGAACAATATGGTCCCAAGAACTGGAATTTCATTGCTCAACATCTTTGTGGAAGATCAGGTATAATATTTTCATATATAGCTTGGTCTTTTTTTCATAATTGTTCTATATTGGATCTATGTGTTTTTATTAATAATTGAGTAACATGGATTCATATATAGGGAAAAGTTGTAGATTGAGATGGTATAATCAACTTGATCCAAATATCACCAAGAAACCTTTCACTGAGGAAGAAGAAGAGAGACTTCTCAAAGCTCATCGGATTCAAGGGAACCGTTGGGCTTCTATAGCCAGGTTATTCCCCGGGAGGACTGATAACGCTGTCAAGAACCATTTTCATGTCATCATGGCTAGACGCAAACGTGAAAGCTTATCTTCAACGTCTACTTCTACGTTCAACCAAAGTTGGCATAATATATTAAGCCCTAGTTCTAGTCTTACAAGGCTTAATAGATCCCAGTTTGGTCTATGGAGGTATGAAAAGGATACGAGTCGCGGTCTCTGGCCTTGCACTTTTGTTTCAACACCTAGAGATGATCAGTTTGGATCTTCATCGGTCTCAAATAATGTACGCAAAGATGAGAGGGGAAAGTCGAAAGAGTTGATGGATCATCAGAATAATGCATTTCATGCAGCTACACCAGATCATAAGAAGAACTCAGGTGAAGATGGACCATCCACGGGAGATGATGGTGGGAAGAAAAATGTTGCTTTCATTGATTTTCTTGGAGTTGGATTAGTTTCTTAGGTTACACTTTCACAACTCAATGATTTTAAAGGGTATCTATCATTAGGGTTAGGTATCATTTTCAGCCTTTTGCTTCCTTGAAACCTCATATGGATCTTCTATCAATTACAACTCTCGTTTTCCATCCATTTAATTCTATATATATATAGCATATATTTATGTATATATATGTATGTAGGTGTCAGTAGATATACATATACATACACGTATGTGTATCACATGCATTTAAATTGGTACATACGCATACATGTATGTGTCCCTGTCGTTATAATTGGTATAATGCATGGTTTTGCTATTTAGTACAGATGCATGTAACAAATATTTATAGGCGTATTAATACACAAAGAGATGCAAGTCTTGTAAGTGTATATGATACGTATGTGTATGTGGTGGGTACAAATTATCAAATAGCTGATGTATTGGAACTTGTAAGGCTTGAAATTGTTAATCTCTATGGAAGCTTGTATCAAACGGTACATGTTATGTGATATTTTTAGTGAGTTAGTTACATGAGATCGTCACTACATGCATATTTCATATTTGCATTGTGTTTGGGTGAAACGGATAAATCATTTTCTCTCTTGTTGGCTTTACAGACTTGCCTAAAACTAATTTGTTAATATACTTATAAATATTTCAGTGCAATCATCTAAGTTTTTCCGACTGAAAGAGTAAATAATCTGCATGTATTCAGTAATATTTTGGTGAGACATAAAATTGATAATCTTTTAACTCTATAGTTTTTGTCGCATTCTATGAATATATAAAAGATAACATATATTATTTTTTTTTCCATATAATTTTCCTTTTTTGTTGATAGCTTGTTTCTAGTGTTGATGATATTAATATCATTCTTCGACTAGAAGAAACTATGTATTTTAGAAAATTCGAATCTGTGTTGCTTAAATGCTCACCTCTTTCTGGAATTTTTACCGCTAGGCTAAGGAAGCTTTCCATAAAAATGTAGCTGAAATATAGTTACAAATAAATCGTCTGGAAGCATGGACTTCATTTGTTTGGTCTAAGGGTTGACTCTGAGTCATTACAATAACTATTAAAATAATTCATAAGATGAATAAAGCTCTGACGATATTTTCATTTTTACTTAGTACTTTTAAATGGCCAGTATAGCTCGATATATATAGTTGCATAACTGCTGTCCGTTTTGATTATAATTTTCAACCAAACCTGATGAACAATATATGTACATTGGTTTGGTTTGAAATTAACATAGTTGTGTTTCCTTCTATTCAAATCTTCTTCTTTTCTTTTTTGTTGGTTAGTCAACATTCATGTTCAATGTATACAAACAAAGATTCCTAAGTAACAAAATTGTTGTTATGGTTAATGATTTAAAAATTGTTGTAGAAATACTGAAATTCATGTGTTATTTTGTTGTTCTATACTATTGGCTTTAATACTTTATTGACAAATAACAACGCTTTCACACACCTACACACAATATTCTTATTGTAGTGGGTAAAATACAAAGAAGACAATGACGGTAAAATGAATAAGCAAACATCTTTATTGAACAATTCAAAGTATATTTTCGCTACACAAAGTATATTCAAAAGAATCAAAATTCACAAACAAGAATAAATAAATGTGAAAAAGAAAAACCAACATGGCATCTTTTGAAGTGACCAAGACCCTTTACCCTAATAAAAAAACTAGCTCAAACTCATGGTCTCCTCTATCACATGGAATTCTATATAAAAACTAATCACAAACTCATCTATAAACACTGAGAGGCCGAACCTCCATTCTGCAACAATTGTGGACACGGCAAAGGAAAAACATCACTAACATATCCAGAAATATCCTTGCATTTCCATTTCTCTGTCTGAGGCAACCCAAGAAGCGTTACATTCCTCAAACATATGTCTTGAAACGTTCCTCCTTCAACACCAAGCAACATAGGAGCCTTCCTCGAGTCAACACTCACAACATTGCTGATATAAATACCTTTCACTCTCGGCATAGCTTTAGGATCCCACTTATCATCAGGATGATCATTTGAGCCTCTACTAAATCTAATAGGAACTTTCACTTTCTCCAACAACACATTAGTGATGGTGATGTTCGAAATGTAACCACCTCTTCCTATATCAGTTTTGATGCGGAGTCCAGCTGCAGAGTCCCAAATGTGAATGTCTTGTATGGTTATGTTGAAAATCCCACCAGACATCTCGCTTCCTATTCCAACACCTGAGCAAGTTCGTGTTGTGCCAGAGATTCTTCTGATGATGATGTTTGAACTAGGACGTGCCATAGCCATTCCATATTGGTCCCACCCGCTCTTCACAGCTACAAGGTCATCGCCGCTTTCGATGTAACAGTCCTCAATGCAGACATTGGTGCTTGAGTCTGCAATGTTATTCAGAGAAATAAGACAGAAGACAAGATTGAATTCAAGCAAACAATCCAGGCCACAACATCCTTACCTGGGTCTATACCATCAGTGTTGGGAGCATTCATTGGAGCAAGGATGGTCATATCTCTGATAACAACATTGCTGCGAAACAAAGTCATAAGAGGTTATTCCAATAATGCAAAGCAAAAACAGTTGGAAGTAAAAGTAAGAACCTGCAGTAAACAGGATGTAGTGTCCAGAAAGGAGAGTTGCGTAAAGTGAGGTTAGAGATGAGGATATTATGGGAGTTCTTGATCTCAATAAGATGGCCTCTTGTATGCACCAGTGTTCTGTTCCACCATAACTCCCACCACATTTTTCCCTGTCCATCGATTGTACCATTTTCACCTGTAGTAATTTCTTTTGTTTATCTAGGTGTCTTTGTTACTATCAGTCTAAGAAAGTTAAAGACAAACTCAAGGAGAAAATAACTCCCCCAAAAGCCAATGTGTTAATTCTAGAGAACTCCAAACTCTCTAAAACCATTAAAAGGAAACCAAAAACATAAAAACCAAAACCATTTCTCCTCAAAGCTATAGATCAGCTGAGCTGGTTAAAGTAGAGACTATGCATGCCTTGACTGTTTCAAACGCAGCATGTACTTTGTGTAATATAATTTTCAAGTCAAATACAAAGATATTTCGCCGTCCATTTGCATTTGCCTTTTAATTCACGTCATGTAATGAGAAAAGGCAAAAGTACCTGTAATGACAACATTAGTGAGATTGTCTCCATGAATGAGGCTAATGTGTCTACCACCAGGTCTCTCTCTCCCTCTCCCATAAGAAGGCAATGGCTCTATTATCGGCCATTCCTCTGGATCCTATCAAACCATGATCCCAGACAAAGATTTCGAAATTGTAACCGTGATCAGTTCATGTATCTTGTAAAAAGTTAAGCAATGAAAGTAAAAAAAAAATCCATATTAGTACACATGACATTTGAGTTTATACGTTACATGAAACTGTGCTAAAGCACTAGCAGACAAATTAACTTAAACCAATATCAAAACCGAAAAAGTATTGGCATCATGGCACATGACAAGCAAAACTCCAAACAATAATTTAATATAAACATAAGAGACCACAGAAGTAATCTGGTAGATTAGCTAGATCTAATTTCTTACAAAGAAAACATGCTTCAGACAAAAGTAATCATACTAGCATATAAAATGGTTAATTTCACTTCTTCCCAGACCCTTTCATACTATTTGACATCAAAAGCATATTTAACAAAGTAAATCCGAAACTGATCAAAAAGATTTTTACAAATCAAAGAAGATTTTCCACTCAATAGACTATTCCACTCAAACAGAACCCTTTCTACTTTCAAACACTAGGTGGGTGGGTCCTGTTACAGACTTTTCACTAGTGACCGTGATTAGCGTAATCTCACCAACCAAACTAAACGAACCGACAAAAGCTAAAACCAAGTTTGGCTTCTCACAGAACAAATCATCAAAATGTATAATTAACCAATTACAACTGTGCTCATTAGCAAAACAATTAACAGATAAATGTTTGTGTAGAATTTTTTTACCTGGGATCCCAAAATAACAGCGCCTTGTTCGAGGAAGAGCGTGAAGTTACTGGTGAGGTTAAAGCTTCCGGATAGCCACGTGCCCTTGGGAACATTAAGCTGGGCCCCACCTTCAGCCGCAAAGCCTCCAAGATGCCGTACGGCACGGCGGAAAGCCTCCGTATTCGACGTCTTGCCGTCTCCCACTCCGCCGAATTCGGTTATAGACATGACGATCCGTTTCGGGGACGGGTCGTGGTTAAAGAACCCGGAGCATGTAACCGGGTCATGTATAGGCGTCGTGGTGGTGGTCGAGATAAAGAGAGGGAGGAAGGAATTGGAGGAGATTTGGTGAGAGAGAATGGCTAAGACGGTGAAAGCAAGGAGAATGAATGCCCACGATGGTCTAACTGTGATTGAACTCACAAAACTCGTCTTCTCCGATTCCATCGAAATGAAACAGAGGAGAATCTCTGAGATGGTGATAATTACGAAAGGAAGAGTTCTAAAATGAAACTTTTTTGATTAAATGAATGAAAAAAAGTCAGAATTGCATGTGTGTGCAAATGATTACCGTGAAGCTTTTTGGTTCGTGACAACGAATGTGGGAAGATTGATACCTTACCTCAACACTTCTTTATACTTTTCTTTTGAATCTCGAATTAGAAAATAATGTGGTAATAATAAAAATAAATTTGTATACAGACAAGACACGTATGTCGTGAAAAGGGCACTAAAAGATGGTGCATGTGAAGTGCCAAAGGTGGTAAGGGAAGGAGAGAAAGTGCATATCTTGTAAGAAAATAAAAATGGAAATAAAATTAATTTTTATGTAAGAAGAAGATTACGGGTAAGATTTTACATCTCATTATCTATGGGCCTTTTAAATGGTCTGGTATAGTGACTGGCTGTTTTTTTCCTTCTTATGACAAAACTAGATATATCATATATGCCTGTCCGTATTTGAATTTAATTATTTTCTTTTGTACTTTTCGATATATTAAAATGAATTAATAAATTTGTAAGGTAGAAAGTAAGATGAGATTTGTATCTTATAAATATATTTCAAGAAATATATTTACTTTTGGTCCAATCATATCTTTGCGCATCAATTTTTGTGTGTTTCAGGTATTTAAAGTAATATATATATACCAAAAAAATCTAAATAACTGGGCTGTTTTTACCTAACCGACACAACAAGAAAAGCCTGTATAAACTGAGCTGGGCCAATTCAAACTCCCCATTTTCATATTTATTTTATTTTATCTAATAAAATTTTTCCAAATAGCTGGACTGGTTTAATCCAGCCCACAAAACAATAAAAGAGCCTGTATAAAAACTGAGCTAGGCTAATGAAAGAGAGGCTCAATTATTTCGATTAGGAAGAATTAATGATAAACGAAGTGATTAAAAAGATGATGATGGTATGTATCATCACCATCCACCATCATCCCAAAGTTGAATTCGTGCGTGCGTGTTTTTGACTTTGACCAGTTAAAAAAAAAGCTAGAAACGCGCCACGTCATCGTCTCTCTTGTCGCTTTCTTCGCAGTCTAAATACATTTGCATTAAATGTCATTTTTTTAATTTCACTGTACCAACTCAACCAAGTTCTGTAGTAAAAACTCTTTTTCTCTTTTTTTTTTCTTCTTTCCTATAAGCTCGTTTATTCCTTGAGGATATACTGATTATACTCTATCAATCATCATCTTCCTCTCTCTAGTTTTCTCTCAATCTATTATTCTCCCCGGAGAAAAGTAGTCAACGGTCAGCGCGATCTCCAACGAGTTTCAAATCGGAAAAATATAGCTGAGATTTGTGTATTGGAATTAAAGTCAACGGGTGAATACGCGTCGAGGATAGGCTCTGGTCTTACTTTGCGTACTCTTAATTTCTTAGTCTTGGACTTTCTTTGGGGCTTCCTTGTAGCTCCAGATCCTTAATTTGTGGGTCAAAAAAATCAAGCTGGGTCTTTCTCTGATGAGATGAATTTAGAATTCTAGGGTTTCCTTTTTAATCTAAGAAGTTGTAATGGAACGAAGATTGATGATACCTGGATTCTTTTGGCTGGTTCTGGTTTTCGATTTGGTTCTCAGAACATCAGGCAACGCCGAAGGTTTTTTGCTCATTCTTCCATTAAAAGGATCCTTTTTTATCTCATAAAGGAGGCATTTTTAATTTACTAGTAGTTGATTTTTTTGCATGCTTGACTTTGAGTTAACGTGTTGGTCTTCCTCTTAATTTGATTGCAAGGTTTTGACATTTATTTTGATTCTTTTATTTGGTTAGGTGATGCTCTGAGTGCTCTGAAGAATAGTTTATCCGATCCTAACAAGGTGCTTCAGAGTTGGGATGCTACTCTTGTTACCCCTTGTACTTGGTTTCATGTTACTTGCAATAGTGACAACAGTGTTACCCGTGTGTAAGTTGTGTTTCTTTCTTTCTCTGCTCAAGAATGATTCTGCTTTTCGCACCTGTTGCTAAGTATTTCCTGGTCATTTTATCTTTGCTCAGTGACCTTGGGAATGCCAATCTATCTGGTCAGCTTGTTATGCAGCTTGGCCAGCTCCCAAACTTGCAGTACTTGTAAGTCTTCTCTTCTTCAAAGACGACGACATATTCATGCAAATATATACGAGTTTATTTGCCGATGGAGCAGATGTTGAAAATTCATTGACCATAAGAAGTAGCATATTATTTCTTCAAAAAGGCTGCAGAATAGCACTTTATTTTCTGTCTATGCTTGCAAAGAACATGTTGCAACGAACATGTTATATATTGTTTCTCAGCACTTTGTCAGAGGGGGTATATTGGTGAAGTAGTTCTTAAGATTTTATAACCATTCATTCTTTATAGACGTTAATATTAAAGAAAGTGTAATGACACAGGGAGCTTTATAGCAATAACATTACTGGGCCAATCCCAGAGCAGCTTGGGAATCTGACTGAACTAGTGAGTTTGGATCTTTACCTGAACAATCTAAGCGGCCCCATCCCATCATCTCTCGGCCGACTACAGAAACTCCGTTTCTTGTAAGCACCCATATTTTGAAATGTTTGATTGTATTATTTGCTCCACTTTCGTCAGTATCAACTCATCACTGGTCAATGTATATCCGCTTACTCATGTTTCTACTGGTGTTTAGGCGTCTGAATAACAATAGCTTATCTGGGGAAATTCCAAGGTCTTTAACTGCTATCTTGTCGCTGCAAGTTCTGTGAGTGTAACTTTGCCTCTCCTAAGTTCCTTTGGATGTTTCTGATTATTTTTTGGCATTAATTCAGAAAAATGATATCATCTTGAAATGCAGGGATCTCTCAAACACTCGTCTCACTGGAGATATTCCTGTCAATGGTTCCTTTTCACTTTTCACACCCATCAGGTTTTGCATCTTACTCTCCTAATTTTAAATCTTTGTTGACATGTCAGATTAATTGATTAATTAATTGGAAGTTATCTACAGTTTTGCCAACACCAATTTGACTCCTCTCCCCGCTTCTCCGCCACCTCCCCTCTCTCCTACACCGCCAACACCTGCAGGTTTTTCTTTTTCTTTTTTTCTGTGAGATGTATCTTATAGGTGATTTTATCGCTTCTTCCACAACTGTAAATAGATAATACATAGCATTATTGCCTATTTGAGTGACAATAAAATAACTAATAGCAATGGCCAGTGATGAAACCTATTTGACATATCCTACTATAAAGTTCAATTTTTTTTATCTGAAAAGTCAATAGATAGTATACACTCCATTACTCTACTGTCTCTCAATGGTGATTTAAAAGTGCGGTTAATTTCATTATGATGTACACTTTTCCCCAAAAAAACGTTCGAATAAGTAATGTATTAAACGAGTTATTCATATCATACCTGCAGGGAATAATAGAATTACTGTAGCAATTGCGGGAGGAGTTGCCGCAGGTGCTGCGCTTCTATTTGCTGTTCCGGCCATTGCTCTTGCTTTGTGGCGAAGGAAAAAACCACAGGATCACTTCTTTGATGTACCAGGTTAGCAAACTTCCGGTGCCTGTTTTCTCGTTAACCACTTCTCTGGCTGAAAGGTTTTTTATTTTGCAGCTGAAGAGGACCCAGAGGTTCATTTAGGACAACTCAAGAGGTTTTCATTACGTGAACTACAAGTTGCTTCGGATAACTTTAGCAACAGGAACATACTGGGTAGAGGTGGTTTTGGTAAAGTCTATAAAGGACGGTTAGCTGATGGTACTTTAGTGGCGGTTAAAAGATTGAAAGAGGAGCGTACCCAAGGTGGAGAACTACAGTTCCAGACCGAGGTTGAGATGATCAGTATGGCGGTTCATAGGAACTTGCTTCGGCTTCGTGGTTTTTGCATGACTCCAACAGAAAGATTGCTTGTTTACCCCTACATGGCTAATGGAAGTGTTGCCTCCTGTTTAAGAGGTAATCTCTCATCTTGTAGCTTATTTCTTGTTCATTAAGCGTTGATCTGTGCGTAATGTTATATTCTCATCTTCTCCTTAGATCGTCCGGAGTCCCAGGCACCACTTGATTGGCCAAAGAGACAGCGTATTGCGTTGGGATCGGCAAGGGGGCTTGCATATTTACATGATCATTGCGATCCAAAGATCATCCATCGAGATGTGAAAGCTGCAAATATATTGTTGGACGAGGACTTTGAAGCCGTGGTCGGTGATTTTGGGCTCGCAAAACTCATGGACTACAAAGACACACATGTGACAACCGCAGTGCGTGGTACAATTGGTCATATAGCCCCTGAGTATCTTTCTACAGGAAAATCATCAGAGAAAACCGATGTGTTTGGTTATGGAGTCATGCTTCTTGAGCTGATTACTGGACAAAGGGCTTTTGATCTTGCGCGCCTAGCTAATGACGATGATGTCATGCTACTAGACTGGGTATATATATGATGTGTTTCACTTTTGTGTAGTCCATCATGTGTGTTACTTCTTTGTGTTAATTTGTTTGGTACCATTCAACAGGTGAAAGGGTTGTTGAAAGAGAAGAAGTTGGAAGCGCTAGTAGATGTGGATCTTCAGGGTAATTATATAGACGAAGAAGTGGAGCAGCTGATCCAAGTAGCTCTGCTCTGCACTCAGAGCTCACCAATGGAGAGACCCAAAATGTCTGAAGTTGTGAGAATGCTTGAAGGAGATGGTTTAGCTGAGAGATGGGAAGAGTGGCAAAAGGAGGAAATGTTCAGACAAGATTTCAATTACCAAAACTATAACCAACCAAACACTGCCTGGCTCATAGGAGATTCCACTTCCCACATCGAAAACGATTACCCATCTGGTCCAAGATAAGATTTGTAACACTAATGCTCTATCTGTTTTTATTTTTCTTCTGTATTTATTGAGGGGTTTAGTTTCTGCTGCTCCATATTATTGGGTTCTTTAGTGAGTACATGCATGAGAAAATCAGAAAAATCAAATTGGGTTTGTAAGTTATATGAAACGGGATTCGAATGTTGTTGAAAGGTAAATCCCAAAACATGACTTAAAAAGTTAATTCTCAAGGATTGTGGTGACGTGATTTACATATTACACATTTATATCAAGTTTTAGATATCTTTAGGGCATATTTATAGAATGTGGCCTTGGATAGAGACGAAGATCATATCTGTTGAATACATGGAGGAAGGTCACAAGCTTTGAACCCAGAAACAATAAGTATACAACTACGTATTATGATAGATTACACCAATACTGTTACATGGTAGCACAAGAGATTCATCATGATCAATCATATGATAAGAGTAGAGATATAACCAAAGGTTGGAGCATCAATACAAAAATCATTAATGCATTTTGGCATACATGCTTTAGTTAAGACTGCGACAGTTTTGACGGACTTCACCTTGAGAACCAAATTTGACATTAAGATTGCTCATTTTCTGCATGGCCTGTTGGAAATGAAAGAAAAACATAGCTTGGTTAAAGGCATAGCCATTAACAAGATTCCTGGTCATTGGTGAGTTGAATAAGGTTTGGTCTGAGAAGAGGACTCCTGATTTCCTCTGAAGCGCATTGAAGTAAGCATTGTCGAAATCGTTACGCGTGGCATCAAATGGTTGCTCTGTGTTGTCACCAGCACTGCAAGTTCTAGAAAGAGTTTTTGCAAAAGAGGAGTCCATGGTGGAGTCTGGGGTGGTAAGTCTATCCTTGAAGGATGAGCATCGTGCAACGCCAAGGGTGTGTGCTCCTATACATGATTCCACAAATTAAGTTAGAACCAAAAAAAAAAACTCATTCATTCCAAGTGATGTAGAGTATCTTAATATTAAAATAGTTTATAAAATAATAAAATCTTATATTACTACATTTTATCTTTTCTTTTCCAGCCACCAAAATTCTACAATTCTAAAAACACCAAAAATCTAAATTTATACTAAAGGTTTACATATAGCAATTAAATTACACTTTTAGATGAAAACTATATTTAAAGAAAAAACTATAAAACATGGTCATGTAAATCAAACAATTGATTGAGTTATAAAACATAATAGTTAAATTTCAAATTGAGTCAAATTCAATTTCTTGTATCTATAATTTTCTAGATAAGAAAATCTTAAGCTTATAACTATTTTAATGAACTACTTTTATGTAAATTCCAGTTTTTTCTTTTTAAGTTTTTTTTTTTTACTTGAACTAATAGCTTTCTTTCTTTATGCAGCTACTCAAAGTGTGTTGTAAATAAACAACTTACCAGAGAGAGCAACAACATCTCGCACACTGAAACCACGTTGGCCAAAAGTCTGAATGAGTTGAGAGGCATTGAGAAAAGGTGATGGAAGATTTCTTGTATCTTCTATCTTCGATCTTTTACCATCAAATCTTCCATTTGGTATTTGATAATATGGACCACCAGCCTAATTAATAAACAAATCCAATTACCAACTCTAATAGTTATAAATACTAGTCATCATAATATTATTATATAATCACACACAAAAAATCTAACTTAATTACCCAAAATACAGCATCTCTAGCAGCCATGGCAATAATATCAGCGCAAGAAACAACTCCAGGACATGTATTCTCTATTTCTGCTTTTGCATCATCTATGATCTCGTAGCCACGTAGACTCAGGTTCGCAGGTGAATCCTTTTCAGCAGTGTTGTCTTTTGTTGAATCTAGCAGTATCGATGCGTCACATCCCTTAACAAGTAAAAACAAATGAGTTTTCACATGTTAAAGTTCTTCTCCGTACGTAGAAACATACAATAAGAATATGGATTAAGAGAAAAATCATTACCTCAATGAAACAATCGTGGAAGAGCATACGGATAAGACCTGCAGCTAAAGTTGGATCAGCTTGAAGAGCATTGTCAACAGTATTCTTCACAATCTGTTCTGCCATAGGACAGTTCATCATGTAGTAACCCATACTTAACCCCCTCACATTATAAGGAAGCCCAATAATTGCATGCATCAGCATAATCACACTCAATAAATTCTCCCTAACCATCTTATTATTTTTCATTTCTAGTGGTGGTATGTATTATGTTTCAAGCTATTTTTGAGTATGCTATTAATTTTACAAGCTTGTGTATATATCGCTTATATATAGTATGGACTCGCACTTGGGCACGGCTTCATGATATTGGAGTGGTTGAAACATTGGAACATATAAAAAACCAAATTGTATAATAATTTGTGTATTGGAACATTGGCCCCATGATGGGATATAGTGGTCTTATGGTGCCTTCCCGTTTACTCTTATCATAGTGAATCACTCATCTTATTTTTATTCATAATGGCTGACCTAATTTGCATGTTATTGCATGAAAAGTTGCACGTTGTGTTGACACATACGACCTTTTCCTTTCTTTTGTCAAAACTTAGAATTCGCTTTGTCCACAAATTGTGTTGGTATAAATAATCTTGTACCAAATATACCTCATGTTACAAATACCTAACCACAAGTTTTTATTTTAAAACAAAAAAAAACTTGTATTTTATTTTATTCTTAAAGATGAATGTGTATTTCACTACTAACCATAAAATATTTAACTAAATAATAAAAAAAAAAAAGTTTAAGCAATGAGTTTTTGATGGCAAAGGAACTAAAATTTAAACATGCTAATTCGAGAAGCCTCAAACGGCAAAAGCTTAAACATGGTGATATGATAAACTCAGACCCAAAGTAACCACATACATAAAAATTAGATTCCATCGTTTCTATGACTATGAGATATGATTGATAACAATATAAATTGGAGTGTCGTGGATTTATCTATATTTAATGATGATTGAGATAAGTATTATAACTATCGAGAAAGAATCAATCTAGAACTTGTGTTTCCTTACTGAATGTAAAGAAATTTTGACTATCGATCAGTGGTGATAAGATAATGGTGAGTTGATTAGCGACTAGTAATTAATAATACGCAAAAAAACATAGATGCATGTATGATTGAAGAGAACTGGAAGATATAAAAGTCAAACAAGACATGTAGCTGGCTTCCATTAGCTCGAGACATCCATAGAAATGGACAAGAGAGTTTGGTATTGTTTTAAATGTAATCGCATGCCAATTTTCACTTTTTAAATTACCTCAGTGCTTTCGACGCGGGATGTCTAGTGCTACTGCTTACATTGTTCCACTTCCTTATCTGGTTAGGACAAGAACAGTTGATCCCAGAAATATGTTTTTATTCCTTTTTGTTAAATCTTAAAAAGAAAATGTGACGTAATATACACTTCTATAGAGCAGTTTGGTCTTCACTGTAAATGAACTTTATTTTAGACAAATTTCCTCATTATTTTTCTTAGCTTTGGCCACTGTGTCTAGTTAGTAACTTAGTATATGTATGATGACTAAGACATTGATGATGATGCAAAGTTTTAAACACATTGATTTCGCTTGACTATCATCAAATAAGATGTTTATATATATTTTTCTTCTTTGAATATTTTGGCTGTATGTAAGGTATATAATGTAATAAAATGAGATAAAATGCTTCTGTTTTTTACTTGAGAATACAAGAACCCTACGCATTTATGCTTTGTTTTTATGTTTTTGAGCTATTTTTGATTGACATAAATAAATTTCAGATCTCTACTTCATGAGATTTCTCAATGGGATTGGACAATGCTGGTCCTTCCCACAGCTCCCTAAGATCCTTTCTCCGCCATGACATGAAGATCACCGGTCCTAACGTTGATGGTACCTATATATAAAAGTGAAACCATAATCTCATTATACTTCACACTGATCAAGCTCCTGAATATAACACAAAAATTGGATTGAATCAAGGAAAACAAGTACCAGATAAAGCAGAGCTGGCTGAGGTGAGTGTGTCAACACACCTGCAGCTAGAGCCGAGACCAAGCCAATAGCGTATCCAGGAAGTGCATACCATATGTATTTGTGCCCCTTTGAAGATTTTAGATCAAAAAGATTCACCACATCTCTAGTTTTCCTATAGTCAAAGCAGAGGATCAAAGCCAAAAGCATTGCAGGAATAGCCTGAAAAACAAACAAAAAACAACAACATCTCATACAGTTACTAGACATGACAAGATACAATCATAAACTATAATAATAAAAGTTTAGACCTGTTTACCATGTCACCAAGACCAAGCATCATGAAATCAGAGGCATGCACACCAGGCACCACACCACCTAGTAGATTCCTTGGAAACACAATCTTAACAGGAAGTTCAAGTTTCTTTGTGATCAATTCAAGTCCAGGTAGATTCAAACTGTTGGCTACTGTATGAACCGGGTTAGAAGCTTGCTGAGTCGCCACGGTCACCATAACATTAGCACCAAAGAATCTCTCAGAGAAGAACACCCAGAATATGTCATACACAAACAGACACAGGAGAAGCATAGCACATATCTTGATATTAGGCAAACGAACATGACTAACGAAAGCAATACAAATAGAGATCCCAAGCAAGTTGTTCAACACCCAATGACCAGAAACAAGCCACGCCACAACAGTCACAACACAACCAACAAGTAGCAGTCCTTGCATTCTAGTAAAGGACTTAGAGCAGCACCGAGAGAGAAACGGATCAGAGAGACCAAGCTTCGACTTGATGTATAAAGCATACGGTGATAGCCAAAAGAAGAGAGACGAGACGGATGCAACTGCAGTGAAGGCGGTGAGGAGCTGAGAGACAGAGGAGAAGAGATAGAACATGAGAAGCAAACTGCAAGAGCTCATGACAGGGATCATCAAGGCTTGTGAGGTGTCTAGTGTAATGGATGATTCGGAGAAGTCACGGTTTCTCTCCATCTCTTTGCCGTAGTTAAGTGCACGGAAAGCAGATGCAAATGTGACGGCTACAGCTGTGAGAATGAGAGTGGCTGGAGCAGGCTCTAGCAGATACAAAAGTGTCCATAGAGTCTCCATGATCAAAAAAGAAGTGGAGTCTCTTTTGATTATATATATATGCCCCAAGACTCCTACCTGCAAAAGATCAAATCACACAATAAAACAAAAAAAAGTTGGAATTTTTCAATCAAAGTTTGAATTTTTCAGCAATCAAAGTTCGAATTTTTCAATGCATTAATTTCAAGGAGACAAAACTATGTCTCAATTCAATAGAGAGCGAAATTAGATCGAGAAGATAGCAGATAGAATGAGAAAGGAGAGATTGTTCTGACCTGAGAAACCCTAAAGGCGTTGTTGGATCCCTTGGAAAGGCTTCAATGGAGTGAATTGGGATCTAGTCTAGGTCTGTCTCACACACACGCGTTGGAGAAGAAGAGACGAAAAGATATTTTTTTAATTAATTAAAAAAAAGTGTATTAGCTAACGTATTAGCGTGTCAACGTATTATTAATTTATTATGATTTGATAATTACTATTAGACCCTAAAACAAAATGGTTAGAAAAATTATTTAATTAACTTGTTTTCCTCTCCTTAACTTACCGATTTCTTAAGCCCAATTAACGGGCTGTACCCGGTATGTGTTTGATACAACTTTATTTACTGGCTGTAGCCGGTAATCACCAGTCTGAGTTGTTAACACATGGCTAACCCTAATTTTTTCAAATTTTGAATTTACGCTCTTCTCCTTCTCTTCTTCGTCTACTACACTTTCCCACCTTCAAATTTGAATCTCATTGCCGTTATTTCCACACTCTCTCTCTCAATTTAGGGTTTCTTAGAGATGGGAGCAGCTCAAAGTCAAGAAGATCTAGAGATCTGTACATCAGATGAAGAAGAATACGAAGAGTACGAAGAACGAAGAGACGAAGCAGAAGAAGAAGACAAGTTCGAGGACTCCAGAGACGATACGTTCGCTCCATCTCCCTCCGCTATCCTTCGTCTCCGTCCTAAACCTCCTTCGTCATCACTCGACGACGTTGACGCAAAGCTCAAAGCTCTAAAGCTGAAATACACATCTCCGTCTACGCAAAACTCACCTCGGCTTTTCCGTTACATCAACGGCAACACACCGAAAGCGAAATGGATCACTGCTGAGAAATTCACCGATTACAGCTTCGTGAAAACCTCTCAAGTGAACGAGGACGAAGAAGAAGACGACGATGATGATAAGAATCGAGATTCGGAGGAGAAGGAGTGGTGGATTTTGAAAGTAGGGAAGAGTAAAATACGTGAGAAGGTATCCGATGAGATGCAATTGAAAGCGTATAAAGATCAACGCCGCGTTGATTTCGTTTCCAAAGGTGTCTGGGCGTTGAAATTCGCTACCGTTGAAGATTTCACTGTTTATGTAAACAGTTATAATAATTGCTTGTTTGAGAATAATCATGGCGTTGAGTTGAATGATGCTAGTAAAGCGAAGATCTTTGGGAAAGATTTTATTGGTTGGGCGAATCCTGAAGCTGCTGATGATTCGATGTGGGAAGACGCTGATGATGTTTTGCTGTCTGCTACTCCGGTGAGAGATACACAGGATTTGACTGAGGCTTTTGAGGAAGCTACGAGTGAAGGGATACATAGCTTAGCTCTTGGTGCTTTGGATAATAGTTTCCTTGTGGGAGATTCTGGTATTCAGGTTTTTAAGAACATGAGGCAAGGGATTCAAGGGAAAGGTGTTTGTGTTAACTTTGAGGGTGGTGGGTTTGGTAAGGCTCACTCTGCACCGAGGAAGGCTCTTCTCATGAGAGCTGAGACGAACATGCTTCTCATGAGTCCCATGAGTCAGAACCGAGGGATTCATCAGCTTGATATCGAGACCGGGAAGGTTATTTCGGAGTGGAAGTTTGAGAAAGATGGAGTTGATATCTCTATGAGTGACATTACTAATGATGGTAAAGGTGCTCAATTGGACCCATCTGCATCGACGTTTCTTGGTTTGGATAACAATAGGCTTTGTAGGTGGGATATGCGTGACAGGTATGGGATGGTTCAGGATCTTGCTACTGCTAATACCCCTGTCTTGAATTGGGCTCAGGGGCATCAGTTTTCTAGAGGGACTAACTTCGAGTGTTTTGCAACGACTGGTGATGGTTCAATTGTTGTTGGTTCTCTTGATGGGAAGATTAGGCTCTACTCGAGCAACACTATGAGGCAGGCAAAGACTGCTTTCCCTGGACTTGGTGCGCCTGTAACTCATGTGGATGCTACGTACGATGGGAAATGGATTGTTGGTACAACTGATACGTATCTGATTGTTATATGTACCCTTTTCACTGACAAGGCTGGTAAAACCAAGACTGGTTTCGAGGGTCGCATGGGAAATAAGATAGCTGCACCAAGGTTGCTAAAGCTAAGACCTCTTGACGCACATTTAGCTGGATCTAACAACAAGTTCCGCAATGCTCAGTTTTCTTGGGTAAGCAAAACTCTAGCTGCTGCTTATATTGTGCTCCTTAAATGACAATCTTGCTCTTTATAAACCATGTCAATCTTTGCATGTTATGTTCATAGTAGAGTGCATGTAGTCTTTAAAATCTAAGAATTTGCTGGAAGACAAACCATGATGATGCTTGAACTTCTCTTGCACACCCAAAACCAGATTTGTCTATGCGATTTTTTTTTTCTCTTTCACTCGAATGAGTAGGTCTCTTTTTGCTGGGATGCTTCTCGTTGACGCCATTCCCCTAGCTGGGTTGGTGACTTTATGCAGGTGTTCGCATAACGTAAACCCTTTGCCTGTACAATAAAAGTTGTATTGTTTTGTTCAGTTTGTCCCACAGTTTTTAATATACAGGTTATAGTGTTCCTAGTTGCCTGATGTTTCTTTTTGGTAATCCATCTTTACTGTATCCTTGTTGGTAAATTTTTATATGTATAGGTCACGGAGGACGGGAAACAAGAGCGTCATGTGGTTGCAACTGTTGGCAAATTCAGTGTGATATGGAACTTTCAGCAAGTGAAGAACGGATCTCATGAATGCTACCATGATCAGGAAGGGCTGAAGAAATGCTACTGCTACAAGATAGTCCTTCGAAATGAATCCATCGTGGACAGCCGCTTCATGAATGACAACTTTGCAATCTCTGGTTCACCTGAAGCGCCTCTGGTCATTGCAACTCCCATGAAAGTCAGCTCTTTCAGCTTATCCAGTAAGCGATAAAACAAGCAAGTGATGGACCTCAAGTTTATGTAATTCAAATTCTAGTATGTTTGTAACCATGTGAAACTCTTGTTTTCTCGCTCTTAGTACGCCGTTAGATTCAGACACAAGACATCCCAAGGATGTTGCTAAACTACTTTGGTATGACATTGACTTTTGATTTCTATTTTTTTTCATTTGAAAGAAGCTTGAAGGTTAGCATGGAGAAAGCTTTATCCAGTTCCTTCAACATAACAAGACTATGTTCTTGGGTAAAAAATTAATGCTTAACTCTTCCTTTATAGTATAGACTATTATTACACTTATAAAATTTTACATAATCAACTTCTTTACATGAAACTCACTTATTTGACTTCTTCTTCATCATGAACATAAAAAATCTTGGGAAAAGTTTCTTCTTTTTCTTTACAGGATTTGCTTGTGGTGTTGGGTTTATTTCAGTTCCATTAGACTCTGTTTCTTTCTCCTTCGACTCTTCTAAGCTTTTTCCATTACTATTCTCTGTGGTCACTTCATCATCACCAGTCTTTCTCTTTACATCATGTTCTTCCCTCCATTTTCTCAGCTCTTGTTCTACACTTAACTTCCCTTCTTTAGCCTTCTCAGCCTTCTCAATGGCTTCTGCAAGTGCCTTCTTTCTTGAATCCATCTCTTTGTTTACTTCTTCCAACTTCTCTGAGTTTCTCTTCTCTGTTTCTTTAGCTTCCTCAATCTCAGAAACCGCTGCTGCAACCTTCGCGTTGGCTGCTTCTTCAGCCTCATGAGCACGCTTGGAAAGCTCATAGTACTCATCTAATGTCAGTGTAACACTTCTCGGAGAATCAACATTGTTTTCCTTCAAAGCAGATTCACTCTCTTGCAAGGCCTTGATGGTGGCTAATGCCAATCTCTCTGAAGCTTTAGCAGCTTCGATTTCTTTCTGAGCTGCAACTAATCTGCTCTCCATTGTACTTGCTCCAGCCTTTGCCTTCTCTGCTTCTTCTTGAGACTTTCTCAGCTCTTCACGAGCTAGTTCAGCTAATGATTTCGCTTCATCAGCCTCTTGAGCCGCTTCCTGCATCTGCTTTGGTAGCTCCACCATCTCCTCTCTAGCTTCTCTTTCCTTGGACTCAACAAGAGCTATTTCGAGCTTGGTTATGTCTATCTCAGCATCTAGAGATTCGACTGCTATTGACGCCATCCCTTCTCTTTTTTTGATTGAGTCAAGTGCTGATTTCTCTTTCTCAAGTTCCATTCTCAAGGAAGATGATGCAACCTTCAAACATTTCACTTCGGAAGCTGCTTTCTCGATGTTGACATTGACTTCTTCTAGTTCCTTCTTTGCAGAAGCAACAGCTGTTTGTATATCTGCATGGGACTTTTCCTGTAATGAGTTGGATGATTCGTTATAATCTGACAGTTCTTTCTTCAAATCAAGAAGCAACGCTGAAGCAAAGTCAAGTTTCACTTTCAGCTCCTTGGTTGAAACTATATGGTGCTTGAGTTTCTGAAGCTCTTCCTCTGCTTGCTTTAGCTCCTTCTCCCACCTGTGAGTTTCCTGATCACGCGAGATGACTGCTCCAATCTTATGCTCTTCTGCTTCCAAATGAGAAGAATGTGCACATTCCAACGTCTCCTTTGAAGCTATCAGCTCTATTGTCAGCTCTTCAACTTTCCTCTCAACTTCTTTAGAAGCCTTAACAGCTTCTTCTGCTTCCTTCATAGCCACCTCTTTCTCTTTTACCAAAGCATCATACTCACTTTGCAGAGTTTCCAGCTCTTCTTTGACAGATTCCAGTTCCGAGATAGCAGATGTATGCCTGGCTTGAGCCACTTCAAGCTGTGCTTTGGTGGCAACACTAGCTTCACCAGCAATTCCTTGTTCCATCTCCTCAACTCTCATCTTTGCAAGTTCAGAGTCTTGTTTTGCTTGTTTCTCTTCTGTCTCCGCCTTTTCAAGATTAAGCTTCAACTCTTCAATGAGTCTCTTTGTGTTCTCTAACTCCTCAACCGTTTGAAACTTTGACATCTCAACAATTTCTGATTTTTTCTTGTACTCAGGGATCTGCTCTTCCAACTTTTCGAGTTCTTGTTCCACAAACTTGCGTCTCTGCAATAAGAAAAAAAGAAAGTGAGATCAAGTCTTGGTCAAATAACAATGCAAAGAAGTGATGAGCATTATTACCTCTAATACTTCCATTCTATGTGCTTTCCAATCTGTGATTCCTCCAAATTTTGAGACAGCTTCTTTAACAGATTCAAAAGGTGATGCTGTGTCAATCGAGTGTCTGTAAGAATTGGGTGTTCCATTGCTCAAAGGTGATGATGATGTTCCTCCAAATCTTGGAGACAAGAGTGTTCTTGGAGATCCAAGGCTTCTTAGGGAAGAAAGAGATCTTGAAGGCACTCTTGGTGCGCCTTCAGCTCCATGCTTAATCTTCACTCGAGGCAGAACAATCTCAGAAACAGGAGTAGGATTAGAAGAAGGATCTTGTGCTTCTTCTGCTTGACTGCTTGATAAACCAGAGGGCAAAAAAGTGTCATCCATGTAAATTTTCTCATTTTCTGTTGAATCATCATTTTCTTGAGATTGTTGCACTGCTTCATCTTCATGAGGCTGCTGCAGCTCAGGCTTTATGATTACAACATCATCATTTTCTTGAGATTGTTGCACTGCTTCATCTTCTTGAGGCTGCTGCAACTCAGGCTTTATGATTACAACATCATCAGTAACATCTGATGTCACATTAGGTTCTTCTGGAGGAGGAGATACTGCTTCTGGTAATTTCAAATCCTCCATTGGAGGAATCTATAAAGGAAAAACTTTACAAGAGAAACGTTAAAAGAAAGAAATCAACAAAAAAGAAACTTACAAGAGAGAAAGTTGAAGAAAGTAAAGGAGAGAATCAATGATATTACCGATTAAGAAGTTTTCTTAGACAAAGTAAAGAGAGGTGCACAATTCAAATTCTATAATTAGAAAAGAGATAATCCTGGAAACAAATGGTTGATGAACATCTCTTCCCGTCAGAAATGTCGCTCCCTTCTTCTGATTTCTATTTTTTCATTTACCATTCATTCCAAACTAACCTTAACCATATGCTCTGTTGTATCTCTCTGTCTGTGAATGTGACCAAAAATTCACTTTCAGAACCAGGAGACACATTTGGTCGACACACAAAACAATGTCCTGTCTATTGATAGCTTTTCACTGGCATACAAATGGATCATATTAGCAAAGAAAAACAAACAACTATACCGAAACAAAACCAGCACAGTAGAGTGTACATCACTATGAGGTAACCACTAAGAGAATCAAACAACATTGGACAGAAAAAATATGATTACTGATAGTGATACCATTTTTGGACTTCGACCATGTGTTAGGTAAGCCGTAAGCCTCATGTGTTTTAAGGACAAACAAACAAAAGGAAAAAAAAATAAAACATTCTATTCTCGTATACAATTGGCTAAAGATGTTAGCATCTTCCTCATGCCGTTATAACACCTGAAACCCATGGAACAATAGTAGGCGCTTTTGGATGGTTGTTTCTGTATGACTCTGAGTATCTGTCTTTAAAGCTCCGTTTTGGCTTCTCTGCCTGCAATTTTAAGCCAAGCTTAATAATCCGTTTTAGACGAGTATTATCAAGGAAAGTAAGTGAACGAGGTAAAATTCTTACGTATTTAAGCCAACATTCTTGATGTTTATGCTCATAAATATCAGGAGAAAAGCAACCAAACTCAGATGGGCAATAAACCCAGATGTTGCATCTCATTTCACCAGGTTTCGCACGCTTTGCCTGGTCTAAGCAAGCTTGGCAACAATCAGCCGCACTCTCTTTAGGATGTGTAAGTCCCCATCTCACTGCAGCACCACCATAATCTGTGTGAAGCTCTACATTACATACACCTGGCACTGGTCTCCCTGCTAATACCTCCTCTGTAAATTCCGGAAAAAAAAATTACATAACTTCATGAGTTATAAACTTTTGATCGGGTAAGTATAAATTTTTGAGAAATAATACCAGGCTCTTCCTCTCCTTCAGGTTTATCATCGTGCTCTTCATTGTGAACCTCAACAGGTAACCAAAAACCAATTTCTTCAGACAGCACGTCCCACTCCAACTCCAACGCTCTTACAAGCATCCCTATATGATAGTTACAGTAAGAGAGAGTTCCATTCTACACAATGATCCAGTATCCAGAGGGTATCGTAACATAAATCTTTAGTCATGGTAACTTAGAAATAGCATACCTGCTTCCTCCACTATCATGGTGGAGTTAACCCCATTTTGTTCCTGAATCAGCTCTTTAGCTTCCTTCAGCTTCTCACTGCGCCACGTATCTACAGCTTCTGTTTCGCCAATAAATATATAAGAAGGTATCACAGATTAACATCGAATGAAGAGTATATTATTAGTTACTTTATCTAATTACTAAATTAAGCCCTTGGCATCGACCACATCTTGCACAGGTTAAGTAATAAGACAACATCAGGTCAAAAACACACCATCACATTTTAACTAGCAAGAAGACAAACCCTTAGCAGGTAACTGATAAAAAAAAGTTAAGGAAGTACAAGTTTGTGGTAGTTTTAAAATAAATGTCACAACTTTTAAAAGGATATAGCTGTAGCAAAACAAAAACCCAATTTTTATAATGTAGGATTTGAAACAGCACAAACCTCTGACTAGTGTAACATTAGACTTCTCCTCTAATCTTTTCAAACGCTCCAAGATCTCATCAACTAGTTTGCCTTTTACATTAGAAGAGAGTTCAATACTTGATTCTGCAGTGGCAACATCATGTCTCAGCTTCTTCACCTATACAGTTTTATTGTAAATAATGAGAACCAACACATTCAATCAAAAAATAGAAGTAACATTTAAAAAAAACACTAACCAATCTAACAAGCTCAGAAGGATACTTAGATCTTCGAATCCGAGTAGATTCCTCCATTCTCCTAATCTCATCTGATGTATACCTAACAACTAGATAAGAAAATCAAAAAAAAAGCCAGAAGCTTTAGATACAAACTGAAAGATAAATATCAACCAAATCAAAAAGAGAGCGAACCATTGCGGTTATTGGGATAGAAGTGGAGAGAAGAAGCATAGAGAAAACGAAGAACAAAGAGAGCAATGAGAATGTTGAAAGAGCAAACGACTAGTGTTATTCTTTTGTAGGAGACTACTCCGGTGACTGTCCATTCTCCTCCTCCCCTCGCCATCTCCCTCCTCCGTCATCCCTCCATATTCCTCTCTCTCTCTCTCTCTCTAATTCTTTGTTGAAGATCTACAGAAAGTAGCTTCGATTATGCTTTAATCTGAGGAAAGTAGAAGATGATTCGATTTTTCGGAAAAAAGGAAATCGGCAACGAGAGGAGAGGAGCGGAGCAGCTTCAAATTATTACCGAACACACAGTGTAATTTGGTTTGTGTAATTAATACAAACTTGTTTATTTAAGACACATCGCTTGTTCGCTAATTAACCACCATAGTTTACCCAAAAGACATTTTTACCCTTCTTTCTTTAATTGTTATTGACAAAACGCCGAATAAAGAAAAGCCCAATAAAGCCCACAAATTAGATGGGCCGACACTTAGTTCACTCGTTTCTCCTTCATAGAGTTAAGAGTTTCTCTCTTTCTTCTCTGCAAAAGCCAACGAAAATGGAGTCATCATCAGTAAAACCCAATCCTTTCCTCTCTTTCCTTAACCACCACTGTACTCGCTTCGCCTCCGACCTCTCCTCCCGTTTCGAAGACACCAAACGTTTCGCAGAATCCTTAACCACTCGACGTTTCTCTCCTCCCTTATTCGCCTCCGTCTCGCAATCCTCCAAGCCTTCCTCCTCGACGACTTTGAATCCCTCTCTCGTCGCTAAAGCTCTAGCTGGAACCTCCGTGTTTACGGTTAGCAACACTAATAACGAGTTTGTACTTATCTCGGATCCTACGGGAGATAAGTCTATCGGTTTGCTCTGTTTCCGACAAGAGGATGCTGAAGCCTTTCTTGCTCAGGTTTTGTTTTTTTTGGTCTTTATCTTCCTTTTTGGTATTGAAAGTTTCTGACTTTATGAGGTTTTGATTATATTTATTATCATATATCCCTGCAGGCGCGTCTGCGGAGAAGAGAATTGAAAACCAATGCTAAGGTTGTTCCCATTAATCTTGACCAGGTAGTTCTCATTCTCTTTGATCACTTCACTATATCACTGTGGAAGCCATTGTTTGTCTCACTCACTCAAATTGACGTTGCAATATCTGAAAGCTAACAGATTTCTCTGTATCTTACTAGTTTATGTGATCGGTAGTTTAATCTTGGTTAGCTTGTTCATTTCTTGTGTTGTTTATAATATGGTAATAGTGTAACAGGAACTCCTATTTGCAGTTTGAAATGAATGTGAAAACTTGGTTGCATGATTACTATTGCTCTAGTTTGGCTTGGAACCTTGCAGCAACACAGCTACATTTGTGAAACGTTTTATCTTCTATTTTCGTGGTCCTGAAATTTTTATTTCAGAGAAAACTACATTTTATTTTGTTTGATGTCGAATTCATTGCCCTGAAGTTTGAAGAGGATGTTGTTGACAGGTGTACTTGTTAAAAGTTGAGGGGATTTCTTTTCGCTTCTTGCCAGATCCTATCCAAATAAAGAATGCATTGGAGGTTGTTTCATCCTACAACCTTCCTCATACACTTGTCCTTATTTACTAGTTAGTTGTTTATTTTTCATTTCAATCTTATCCTAAAAAGCTAGACATCCATGTGTTCCAGCTCAAATCCTCAACTAGTAAGAATGGGTTTGATGGAGTTCCAGTATTCCAGGTACATTTTTGTACAAATTCTCTTGCTCTGCCTTAGATATCTCAGTCATTTGCTTGGTCGCCATTTTGTTAGTGCTCAGAAGCTAACGTTAGATGCAGCTGCAGTTAGTCTGCTATTAAAACAAAAACATTTTGAACAATTGAAGAGCTGCATTGTAATGCCAGCCTGCTTTTATATTCATGGATCGTTTCTTTTTTTGCATTTCCTCCATTTAATCAGTGAATACTATCTTAACTAGCGAAATGTTCTCTTCGCTTCGCTTGATTTTGGCTATGTTTTCGCTTGATTTTCATCTCTCGCAATTGCCACTCTGCAGTCTGAGCTTCTTGTTGTGAGGAAGAAAAATAAACGTTACTGCCCTGTATATTTCAGTAAGGTTAGTCAACTTCTTCTCGCACATATATAAAATTACTTAAAAGCCAAAAAGGGCGTTTCAGATAAGATAACCTTTACTTTATTGTTATTGACAAGCTATATCTGCTGCGGCCTCTTTCAGGAAGATATAGAGAGGGAACTTTCAAAATATACACGAGCATCAAGAGGAGATCAACAAATCATGGTAATTATTCCTATTGGTCCTGCATTTGATAGGCCAGTAATTACATTCTGACACCTTGATTGTAGAAACACGTGATTTCTAGCAATCATTGTGCTTACATGGTCTGTGTTCATATGCTTTCTACTTAGAACACCATTTATTCAGAGGAAGTACAGCGAGAGAAAGGGAAAACTATAGATATCATACCACAACATTGGTATGTTGAGAGAGTCTTCTTATATTCACCATGAAACTAATAAACCTTGTCCTTTCACAGGTTGGGAGCTTGGAAGATGTATTGAGGAAAATGGAGGTAATTATTATTCTTTGTTTAAAGAAATTGAAGTATTATGAATGGAGAAACCCCAGTAATAATCTAATAAAATGTGAATTGAATAAAATAATGTAGAGAAGCGAGAAGAATTCAGGTTGGGAAGATGTAATATTCATTCCACCAGGAACAAGCTATGCACAACACATGCAGGAGGTTATCAAAGAGATAAAATGATGATGAGAAACAGCGTATGTGTATTTTCATTTGACAAAAACAGCTTCCCTTGAGATTTTGCAATAAAATCATTTGCTAGAACTCTCTTACACCACTTAAAACACCATTCACATGTTGATTCAATGTTTTCAAGATCTAATCCATCTTTCATTAGCTTAAACCGGCCCAATCTTACCCAAAGAGGTTGTGGGCATCTACAAACCTACAATGTCTTACCATCCTTATTATCTCCATTTTTTTCATCGCAAAATCACTTTGACATCTCAGCTTGAAAAAATTATGATAATCTTTGATTAGTGATTGATTGAAAGTTGAAACAGACTAATTATTACTTAAAATGAAAGTAAAAACAAGAGATGAGATGAGAAGCATTCGTCACTCTATGTTGACAGGAGAACCTTAAAATCTTGCTCTGTTTGCTCCTCTCTCACATTGATTTCTCCCCTTTCTTACACTAATCACAGGCAAATCACACATTTATGTTTTTTAAACTCATCACACACTTGTGTATATGTCCACTTTTTGATTCAAATATTATTTTAATTCTACGCTTTTAGCCTTCTAGGACTTTACCTCAACGATTCTGGATGACCACGTCGTACATTTTAAATTTCAAGTATTATTAAAGTCATTATTTTTCATGGTGCTAGTTGAATACACAAGAAACGAGTAAGGTAGGCCTACCAATGTGTGTGGGAAAAGAAAAGAAAACAAAAAAAAAAACAAAAGTAGAAGAAGAATGCTTACGTTTATTTAGTGTATTTTTCACATTAAGCATATACCATCTCTTTGAATTATTATGATCTTTTGTATTTTTCAGAAGTTGCAGTTGGTGGAGTTTAATGAATAAATAATTGTAACCTTTTTCGTACACACACACACATGTATATATATATATATCATCTCTTTTTCTTTATTTTTAAGATCATCAAATTGTGGAAACATTTTATAAGGAAAAAAAAGATTGTTGAATTGTCTCTATCAGATTACATAACTCGTAGTCCAAACTTAGTATTGGAACAAAACTAATTAAACATTTTCCTCATTAAGTACAAAAATATATGAATAGATAGACAAACCGGCTATTTGGACGAGTGTTGAATCTTCACTAACTATAAATCATTTCTACCTAAAGTTCGTGGCTTCATTCATAAACTCATTGGTTGAGATGTAGAAGAGAATTGGTTCCCATTATAGTATCCTTTACACTGCCATTCTGGTCCCACATTTTGGACTTGAGAACAAAACTAAATACGTAACTTAAGGCACACGTATTAGCTCACTCATGTCATTGTTTGTAGCCCAACCACCCTAAAGCTTTGGCCACATCTTTCATATATTAGTATTAATCCATCAGTGCTTTGTTTTTGAGTAAAGAAAATCCTTTGACACCGGCCAATGAATCTCTTCTAGATGTTCTTTTACTCAAATAAAACTCAACCTCTACATAGATTAATAATTAGTAATTACCATGTTTTAATTATTAATTATACTCTTCCCTAACTACTTTACTTGGACCGTATATATATAAGAGAATCATCATCCTACACACAACTCCCTTGAACATTTTTATTAGTATATATACAAGATGAAAGAGAAATGTTTTTCATTTAGAAACGGGAGGACGATGATGATGATGATAATGAAGATAGCTCCATCCAAATCCACATTGATACGCTTCAACCTAGTCTTGTTTGCTCTCTCTTTTCTTCTCTACACTGTGTTGTTTCTTCACCCTTCTACATCAGTCTACTTCAGCAGCGCAGCTTCCTTTGTTGGATGCTCCTTTCGTGATTGCACTCCCAAGGTAAGGTGAGGTTTTGTTGTTTTGTTTTGATAATATAAGTATATTTTCTATTGCTATTTGATCAAAATAATTGAAGCTATAGGTGGAGAGAGGAGTGAAGATGCAAGAACTCATTGTAGAGAACCAAATAAACAAGATAGGTAGTAACCAAACCAAGCTTGAGGCACCAAGCTTCATGGATGAGATTATAACAAGAGGGTTAGGGAAAACAAAGATTGGGATGGTGAACATGGAAGAATCTGATCTTACACAATGGAAACGTTATGGAGAAACCATCCACATAAACTTTGAGCGTGTCTCCAAGTTTTTCTCATGGCATGACTTGTTTCCTGAGTGGATAGATGAAGAGGAAGATACAGAGGTTCCCACATGTCCTGAGATACCAATGCCTGATTTTGAAACCATAGAGAAGTTGGATTTGATAGTGGTGAAGCTGCCTTGTAAGTACCCTGAAGAAGGGTGGAGAAGAGAGGTGTTGAGGTTGCAAGTGAACTTAGTTGCGGCTAACTTGGCAGCCAAGAAAGTGAAAACGGATTGGACATGGAAGAGCAAAGTGTTGTTTTGGAGCAAATGTCAACCGATGATTGAGATTTTCCGGTGTGATGATTTGGAGAAGAGGGAGGGAGATTGGTGGTTGTATCGGCCTGAGGTGGTTAGGTTACAGCAGAAGCTTAGTTTACCAATCGGATCTTGTAATCTTGCTCTTCCTTTGTGGGCACCACAAGGTAATATTACTTTCATAACAAATCTACTTTTTTTAATAATGCTAATTTTAGTAAACTATATAAATCACACAAAACTAAACCAAATTCCTATTTGAAATGTTAAGATGAACAAAAAAATGAAATAAAATAAAAACTTTTGATTTGATTACTAATTTTGTTAAATTATGTTTTGAGTATTACTAGCAAATCATCTTAATTTTTGTTTTGAATTTGATAAAAAGTTGAACAAGGTTAACAGAAAATAAAGTTTGAACTGGACTTGAGATAGAAAAGTCTCGTATGTAGTGACTAAGACATCGTAACTTAAAAGGATTTGATTACGTGAAATTGATGTGAAAGGTACCAACTCTACTGTGTAAGTCGATATATATAGAATTTTGCGTAATTGATTGTTGTGTGTCAAATAGATATTACTATAATAGTGTTTTAGTGGTTGTGTTTTAGGTATGTATTCTTGTTAACCACCAAAATTGATTGTCTTACAAGCTACATTGCATTTTTCAAAAAGTTATATTAAAATCAATCTCTGCATTCACACATATAGCCAAATGACCAAACTATGATTTATAACTGATGTGATCATTTGAAAACCATACTTAAATGTGCCATACTTTGCAATTAGTTAGCTTTGTAAGCAAAATTTGTTGAGTAAAATATACAACTAATTAGTAACAATATAAATTGATCTTTCAAACTAGCTAGGCATTCGTATTCGTTGGTGGATTGATTAGTTAGGTACAGTTGCTTGATGTTTAAGAAAACAAACTAATGATCAAACAAATTAATGATCATTGTATAAGTTTGATGATGGCTTATATTATATTATTATGTAAACTATGTTTATTGGTCAATACCCAAATCATGATAATCATGTGCTTCTATTTTCTTTTTGGTCAACTAGGATCAAAGCTTGATTAGTGTTGGTGAACATTTGTTTTCTTAAACAGAACTAATCCAAAATATAATACTTAATATCAGTTAAATTAGTTTAATCCACCAATTTTTATAAAACAAAGCGTATAATAGAATTTCCTTGGATTACTATATACAAAAAAACAGGTATAGACAAAGTGTATGACCTAACGAAGATACAAGCAGAGACAAGACGACCAAAACGTGAAGCCTACGCAACAGTGCTCCACTCATCCGAATCATACGTCTGTGGTGCCATAACTTTGGCTCAAAGCCTCCTTCAAACAAACACAAAACGTGACCTCATCCTTCTCCACGATGACTCCATCTCCATCGCTAAACTCCGAGCTCTCGCAGCCGCGGGATGGAAGCTACGTCGAATCCTAAGAATCAGAAACCCACTTGCCGAAAAAGATTCATACAACGAGTATAACTACAGCAAGTTTAGACTGTGGCAGTTGACGGATTACGACAAAGTGGTCTTCATTGATGCTGACATCATTGTCCTACTTAACCTTGACATTCTCTTCCACTTCCCTCAGATGTCGGCCACCGGAAATGATGTTTGGATATTTAACTCTGGTGTTATGGTCATTGAGCCTTCTAATTGTACGTTTAGTACGATCATGAGTCAACGAAGCGACATCGTTTCATATAACGGTGGGGATCAAGGGTAAGCACTAAACATTTCAATTAGTTTATGTTTTTAATGTCATAGCCAATGAAGTATATATTATACAGTTCATTAATATCGTGATTAATTAATGAAAGTATCAACAAAAATGGTCTGGTTTATCTCACATCACTTTAATGTTATGCTTTAGTGTAAACTCTAAAAAGTGGTTTACACTCAACTATCACAGTAAACTGATGTGAGATAAAATGGAATTAGATTATTTCTAACTTCATTATATTTTTACCTTAAGATAAATTTTGAAATATTTTTTTTCCAAACCTATTTTATAAAGTAAATAATAGAAATATTTTATTTTATATTTTTATATTTTAAAATAAGGCAGTGCTATAGTAAAATTCAGTTCTGTATTAAAATAATTTATTTTGAAGAATAATATATTAGAAAATGCTGAACACATTACTAAACTATAGTATACTCATAGAAATGCTATGTTATGTATACATTTGAACAAAATTAAATGTTGTTACATTTGTATTTTTTCAGGTATCTAAACGAGATATTCGTGTGGTGGCACCGATTACCTAGACGAATAAACTTTCTAAAGAACTTCTGGTCGAACACAACCAACGAAAGAAACATCAAGAACCACCTCTTCGCCGCCGAGCCGCCTCAGCTATACGCAGTCCACTACTTGGGGTGGAAACCATGGCTTTGTTACAGAGACTACGACTGCAACTTCGACGTGGACGAGCAGCTAGTGTACGCTAGCGACGCGGCGCACGGTAGATGGTGGAAAGTGCACGACGCAATGGATGAATCTCTGCAGAGGTTTTGTAGGCTGACGAAGCAGAGGAGGACAGAGATTAACTGGGAGAGGAGGAGGGCGAGGCTTAGAGGTTCTACTGATTTCCATTGGAGGATCAATGTTACTGATCCGAGACGACGTCGTTCTTATTTGATAGGCTAATGAGTTTTTGTTTTCTATATATATGTATAGATGTGTAATACTAAGACTTGAGACCCCATTCTTCTTCTCGTTTATTTTCTTTTCGATTTTTCTGTGTGTGATCTTTTTAGACCATGTCAATAAGAATCTTACAATTATTTTGTTATAAGCTTTTTTATTACATAACTCATGTGGTTCTAGTATTTTTACATGATTCATGACATGGTACGAGTCATATGCCTGGCCACTCATTAAATAGTGAGTAGTGTCGTTTTATACAGTGGACTCGACCTAGAAATAAATCGAAAGTTATTTAATGCAAGTGTACCCTACTTTGATTCCTTCGGTATATTTCCACATTTATGCCACTCAGTAGTTTATTGTTTCTTTTTGTAGACTTGACCTAGAAAACAAGACTTGGGCAACAGATAATTATGTACACCACTTGCTAGATGTCTGCCCCACACGATGTGGTGTGATGTGTGGACATAACTTAAATTATGTGGGAAATATGGATCTTTCTTTCCTTTTCTTAAATTAAATGCTTTAGAACAACAACTCGATTAATATATTGTCTCTCGTAAATTCAATTGTCAATTTCTAGTCTTATTTATAATTTTAGTTATGGAGATGCAAAATTATTTATTTAGTTTTTAAGCTAAATATATATTAGATGGATAAAAATTCAGATCCCTATGGTATGATTGGTAATTGTTATAGCTACATTAATTTTTACAACACCAAATTCACAGTAATAATTTTTTAATTATTTTTTAAAAAATCACAATTCTTGAAATAATCTACAACTATACAAGTGTTTTGTAAAACCAAATATCTACAAAAATATTTTGAGTTTTCTATAAAATTTTACATCAATAAAATCTAATGATATAGCTACAAGTTTACAGATTTTTTTTACAACAATTTTTTTAAGATACAGCCATTATCAGTTAGTCGCTTAATCATAATATTTTTAATTTATTAATTCTCATTTTGATTTATTTTTTAACATAGGAGAATGTTTTTATCCGAAAACATAGGATTTTGTTTGTTGGTTTTTGGCTTCCTCCTATTTTTTTTTTTTTAATTTTCCCCCATAAATTTCCCTGGCTTTGTTGATATTTTATGTTTTATCCCCCTTATAAAATTTCCTCTAAAATTCTTTTAATTAATTCAAATAGACAAAGAAAATTTTATTCCTTACCATATGACTTGTTGTTTCTAAGCTAGTTCTCTGTTCTTTCTTTCTAACTTTTGTTTTATTATATATCACTATCACTACGAATCTGCCAGGAAGTTTCAACTAGAATCAGATCCTCCACTTATAACTGCGTCCCTCTCCCTCTCTCTCGAACTCACTGACTAACTTCCCCCCCCAAAAAAATGGCAGTCACCGATTTTTTCGCCGGCGAAATAGCCACCGAGCTACTAAAACAGCTCATATTCATATCCGCCAAAGCATGGAAATACAAAAGCATCGCCGACAGACTCATCACCTTGATCGAAACAATCCAACCCACGATCCACGAGATCCAATACAGCGGCGTGGAGCTTCCTGCTCACCGTCAAGCTCAAATCGGTATGCTCGTTAACACCTTAGAGAAAGGCAATAAACTCACTGAGAAAGTCTTGAGCTCTCGTAGATGGAACATGTACAGACAGTTCACGCTAGCGAAGAAGATGGAGAAGCTGGAGAAGTCGATATCTGATTTTCTCAAGAATCAGATATTGACTCATATCTTAGCTGATGTTCATCAGCTAAGGGCTAACGCTGATGTGAGGTTTGATAGAGTTGAGAGGAGCCTCACTGGCTTAGAGGAGCAGTTAGGGTCTATGAAGATAGGAGGAGGAGGGATGATAAGGGATGCGATGAAGATAGCTGAGGCTACGATGGAGATTGAGACGAGTAGTGACTGTGAGAAGTTTGGGGTTGGGTTGGAGATGGGGAAGAGGAAGGTGAAGAAGATGATGTTTAATGCTGAAGGAGGGATTTTTGGGATTAGTGGGATGGGTGGTGTTGGTAAAACCACTCTTGCTAGAGACCTTGAACATGACAATGAAGTCCGATGTAAGTATCTCGTAGGCCTCCAGGTTCTGTTTCGGGTTCGGGTATTTTAGTTACTTTCGGTTATAGAGATGTTCAGTTATCTACAAAATACGGTTTGATTTCAAATAATTTATTTTGGTTTCGGTTCTGATGGCAAAATTGAGAACCGGCTAATATCTGAAATTTCGGTTCTAGTTTTTCAGTAAATTTTGAAAATATGGGCAAAAACATCAGCTCAGTTTGGTTTTTCAACATAAATATTGGGTTATTACTTATTCGGATAAAAATATTGAATAATTCAGATAAATAAAATTTCAGATAAAACATATTCGTCTAATTCAGATTTTCAGATATTTCGGTCTATAAATGATATTTTAAAGATAATTGATTATTTAAAAACTAGATATAAATGATATTTTAAAGTATATATTATGTATTTCAATACCCATTTTTCGATTCCAATGATATAGTATTCGTGTGACTATTTATAAATTTTAGTTTGGTTTTGGTTTAGTACATTTTTTTTAAGTCACTGCTTTTTTTTCTGTCAGGTTACTTTGAGAACAAGATTATGTTTCTGACTGTATCACAATCTCCGGTTCTTGATGAGCTGAGAGCACGTATATGGGGTTTTTTAACTGGTTATGAAGGTATAAATCATGTTCCAGACTGGAATTTACAGTATGACAGCGGGGTAAAAACAAAGAAGCTGGTGATTCTTGATGATGTTTGGACAAGAAAAGCTTTGGACAGCTTGACGTCTAACCTTCCTAGTTGCACAATCCTTGTTGTTTCACGGTCAAAACTTGCAGATCCTAATGCTACTTATGATGTGGAAGTACTAAGGGAAGATGAATCAATCTCTCTCTTCTGTCTATGTGCATTTGGTCAGAAATCTGTTCCTCCCGGTTTTGACAAAGACCTTGTTAAGAAGGTAATGTTAATGGTTTCTCTCTTCTATAAACTGATTCATGTCTAATGTGATGTATATTTAATGCTTTTTTCGATTCTCCTTTAGGTTGCTGGTGAGTGTAAAGGTCTACCTTTGGCTCTCAAAGTTACGGGCGCATCACTAAAAGACCGGCCTGAAATGTATTGGAAGGGCGCATTGCAGAGGTTATCAAAAGGTGAACCTGCTGATGAAACTCACGAGTCTAGGTTGCTTCATCACATGGAAGCTAGTCTAACAGATCTAGATGAGACAGCCAGAGAGTGTTTCTTGGATCTTGGCGCATTCCCTGAAGACAGAAAGATTCCTGTTGATATTCTCATCAACATGTGGATTGAGGTACATGATCTCGACGAGGAAGTTGCTTTTGCCACTCTTGTTGATTTGTCACACAAGAATCTTCTTACTCTTGGGAAAGATCCACGGTAAGAGATCACATTTAGGATATCAGTTTGGTTTGGTTTATTTTGGGTTTTCAGTTTCAAAGATATATAATCATTTCGCATTAACAGGGAATGAGGTTTGGTTATTTTGGTTTCGGTTTGGTTGAGAATCGGTTAATATGAGATAATTTTGAGTTCAATTTGGTTCTACTTTTTGGTTAATTTGAGTTCAAAAGTCAAATTTATAAATATTTTGGTTAATTCATTTATAAATAATATTTTAAAATTATTTTAATATTTTAAAACTAAATATAGTTGATATTTATAACTACCCAAGCATATTTTTTTATTATTTTAAACTATATTATAAAAATTTGGATGGCACTCTTGGGTAATTCATAATATCTGAACCCGAACCAAATCTCGTTTTCGGTTTGGTTTGGTTCGGTTCTGGGTAAATGTCTCAATGCCTATTTGTAGCTTTATATGATTCAGAGTTTTATGTAATCATCATCACTGTATATTTATTTTGCAGGCTTGGCTCTACGTATGCAAGCTACTATGATGTATTTGTGACACAACATGATGTTCTGCGAGACTTGGCACTTCATTTATCCAACAAAGGCAAAGTAAACAGAAGAGAGCGATTGCTGATGCCGAAAAGAGAGGAAGAGCTTCCAAAAACATGGGGGAAGAACTGTGATGAGCCATACAATGCACAGATAGTTTCTATTCATACATGCAAGTGAATCGAATCTTATAACTGCAATATTTATTTTACTAGATTCTCTAGCTAGGATCGTAATGTTGATTGGACTTGTATTTTTATTGCAGGGGAAATGGATGAAATGAGCTGGTCTGATTTTGACATGGACTTCCCTAAGGCAGAGATTCTAATGCTAAATTTCTCTTCAGACAAATATGTTCTGCCTCCTTTCCTCAGCAAGATGACCCGGCTTAAGGTCCTCGTGATTATCAACAACGGCATGTCCCCTGCGACTCTCCATGACTTTTCAATGTTTCCCAATTTGTCGAAACTAAGGAGTCTCTGGCTCGAGAGAGTTCACGTCCCTGAACTCTACAACACAACAATCCCCATGAAACATCTCCACAAGATGTCTCTTATTCTCTGCAAGATAAATAACTGTTTTGATCAGACCGGAGTCGACGTCTCAAGTATCTTCCCAAAGTTGGGAGACCTAACGATAGATCACTGTGATGATCTCGTGACACTGCCTTCAACCATCTGCAAGATGACATCTCTTAACTCACTAAGCATAACAAACTGTCCACGCCTCAGTGAATTGCCTAAGAACTTAAGTAAGCTACAAGCTCTCGAGCTTCTGAGGCTATATGCTTGTCCTGAGCTAAAGGCATTGCCTGTGGAGATCTGTGAGCTTCCTCAGCTTAAGTACCTCGACATCTCACAATGTGTTAGCCTGAGTTGTCTTCCGGAGGATATAGGGAAGTTGAAGACGCTTGAGAAGATTGATATGAGAGAATGTTATATCTCTGATAGAGTGAGGTCTGCTGTTTCGTTGGAGTCTCTACGCCATGTGATTTGCGATACGGACGTTGCGTTTATATGGGAAGAAGTTGAGAGGGCTGTTCCAGGGTTAAAGATTGAAGCTGCTGAGAAATGTTTCAGTTTAGATTGGCTTGACGAGTAAAACTGTATAACTTATTCGGAAACTGTAACTTGTTTAGGGGGTTAATGTAAGCTTCTTCTCAATCTCCCCTAGTGTTAGTTAATATTATGCTTTTGTAATGAGGTTTCTCTGTACAGTTTCCACCAACTTGATCTTCGTATTAGAACGATTAAAAGTGTTATTATATAAATTCTGCAATTTAAAAACCAAAAATATTGCTAACAAGTTAATTGGTTGTTCCATGAAACAGTTACTATGAAAACACCACTTGATTTAAAAATTAAAGTTTACTAACACGATTGTTTTAAACAAGCAAAAATAAATAATTCTTTAAATTAAAATATAGAAGAAAAACAGATAACAATTTCATCACTCTTTCTTGAAGGCTCGAGCTCTAGGTCGACGACCACGACGTAAATGATAATCAAAAACCATTTCAAAAACTAAAATCCAAAAACTAATAATAATCATCACCTAACTAAACCGAATCGACTTATCTTTTGGTTCAGTTTTAACCTAACCGGTTAATTTTGGTTTGGTTAAGTAAAACTAGAGATGGGGATTCCCGGTTTATATAAAATTTTTAAACGGCTCTCTCGGGAATATAGCCGTTACGGACTTTCCGATTAGAGAATTGGGGACAAACGAAGCCCTAATTTGACTCTGCTCCCTTTGGTAGTATAAATCAACCCCAAAGTTTCACACTTTTCTCCACCAATTCAATCTGCTCTCATCTCGCATCATCAGCTTACGAACAACTCTTCGCGCTCTCTATCTCTCTCTCTGCTCGAATTTACTGCTTTTATTTGATTCGTCTTTTGATTTAATTGAGATCTTGTAATCCGTTTCGTGTATTATCGTTCTTTCTGTTTCCTTGTGTCTTTCTGTGTTTGTGTTAACAATGGATGCAGGTATGAACACATCTACGCACTTGAAGGCTCAAGCTCGTTGCCCACTTCAAGAACACTTCCTTCCCAGGAAAAGTTCCAAGGAAAATGTAAGTTTTCCTCTTCAATTGCTTCAGATCCCATACAATTACATGTTTCCCGTCCCGCCATCTGAGAATTAGGGTTTCGAATTTGTCGGGTTTTCTTTTTAAATTGCTCAAAGTCGATTCCTTTCTGCAATCAAGAATTAGGGTTTCGAATTTGCCGATTCTCTTTTTAAATTGCTCAAAGTCGATTCCTTTCTGCAATCAAGAATTAGGGTTTCGATTTGGGGGTTTTGTTTATCTTGCATCACCTATGTTTGTTTCAGATATTGGAGTAACGAATTTTCGATTATATGGGTTTTGTAATAAGAAACTGATCATGTGGGGTTTTGGATTAACTGTGTACTGATTTGTTTTTGTGTTTCCACCAGCTTGACAGGTTTATACCCAACAGATCAGCAATGGATTTCGACTACGCTCACTTCGCTCTCACAGAAGGAAACAAAGGTAAAGATACAGCAACGGTAAGCTCACCATCTAGAGAGGCATACAGGAAGCAACTCGCTGAGACCATGAACCTGAACCACACACGAATCCTCGCCTTCAGAAACAAACCTCAAGCTCCTGTTGAGTTGCTTCCCACTGATCACTCTGCTTCTCTTCACCAACAACCCAAATCCGTTAAGCCAAGAAGATACATTCCTCAGGTATTTTTATCATTGTGCTTTATGAGAAAAGATTTGTATCTACTGTGTTGTTGTATTGATCTGTTGTTTCTTTTAATAGACTTCTGAGAGGACATTGGATGCACCTGACATTGTGGACGACTTCTACCTCAACTTGCTTGACTGGGGCAGTGCTAATGTCTTAGCCATTGCGTTGGGCCACACTGTTTATCTGTGGGATGCTTCCAGTGGGTCCACATCTGAGCTTGTCACCATTGATGAGGAGAAAGGACCTGTCACAAGCATCAACTGGGCACCTGATGGTCGTCATGTTGCAGTTGGGCTTAACAACTCTGAAGTCCAGCTTTGGGATTCTGCATCCAACCGTCAAGTAATTAGAAAAATCCCCTCTTCTTTTGTTAAGACAAAAGTGTTTTTCATCATGTCTTAACGTTATGTGTGTTGTACTTTTCCCTGCAGTTGAGAACATTGAAGGGCGGACATCAGTCAAGAGTAGGATCAATGGCGTGGAACAACCACATCCTGACAACGGGAGGAATGGATGGACTGATCGTCAACAACGACGTACGAATCAGATCACACGTTGTGGAAACTTACAGAGGTCACACCCAAGAGGTTTGTGGGCTAAAGTGGTCAGGATCCGGACAGCAACTAGCAAGTGGTGGCAACGACAATGTTGTACACATATGGGATCGTTCTGTTGCCTCCTCAAACTCGACCACGCAATATTTGCACAGGCTTGAAGAACATACGTCTGCAGTCAAAGCCCTTGCCTGGTGTCCTTTCCAAGCGAATCTGCTTGCAACTGGTGGTGGTGGAGGAGATAGAACCATCAAGTTCTGGAACACTCACACAGGAGCTTGCTTGAACTCAGTAGACACTGGCTCCCAAGTCTGTTCGTTGTTGTGGAGCAAGAATGAAAGAGAGTTGCTTAGCTCACACGGGTTTACACAGAACCAGCTTACGTTGTGGAAGTACCCATCTATGGTGAAAATGGCTGAGCTCACTGGTCATACATCAAGAGTCCTATACATGGCCCAGGTGAATAGAAAAACTTTAAACAATGACTGTGTTGAGTTTTTGAGGTTTTTAGTTCTAAACTTGTGTTATTTGTCTGTGTGTTTGTACAGAGTCCAGATGGTTGTACGGTAGCTACAGCAGCAGGAGATGAAACTCTGAGATTCTGGAATGTTTTTGGAGTCCCAGAGACCGCCAAAAAGCCTGCCCCAAAAGCAGTTCATGAGCCGTTTTCTCATGTGAACCGTATCCGTTGAAGAAACTGTGAAGAGATACTAACAACAAAGAAAAGTCAAGCAGAGATTGTTACATAAGACTAACAATAAAGAAAATCAAGCAGTGATTGTTACATAAGATGTTTTTGTTTTCATTTTTTTTTGGTTTGTATTGACTGACGAGTAAAGTGCATACTGAGTCNCAAAGAAAAGTCAAGCAGAGATTGTTACATAAGACTAACAATAAAGAAAATCAAGCAGTGATTGTTACATAAGATGTTTTTGTTTTCATTTTTTTTTGGTTTGTATTGACTGACGAGTAAAGTGCATACTGAGTCAAACTTCGTTGTTTGAATATATATTTTAAATAGAAAGAATTTCTTTTTTACATCTCTTGTTCATACTCAATTAAGTCTAGTAACTTTTACATTCGCAAAATCTACCAGTTGACATGATCCTAAAATTTGCAGAGTTCAGGTTTCATAATGAAAAGCACTGATAATGTTTAGACTTGGACTTAATGTCTGATCATCACAAAAGCAAGCCACCAATAAGAAAGCATTATACAGAATGTGCGTACTTGGATTGCTCATATGATCATATCTGAGTCCTAAGGGAAAAGAAACAAGTTTTGAATGATCAGTCATTAAGTTGAAAGCGTCGGGAGAAGAAAGAACATCAATATGACAAAGCGTCGTCGTTTGCACTTCAAAATACTAATTTAGGAAACAAATCCTTAGATTTGTTTTTTTTTTGTAACAAATCCTTATGACTTTTCTATCATTCTAATTTAACCCAAAACTATTAAATTTCTCAGTTATAGCCAGCCAAGTGAATAGAAACGTCGTCGTTTCTGGCACTAAAACCCTAGATCAGTCTTTCTCAGCCAGCCGCGAATCTCCTCCCTCTCACAGTAATCTATCGAGCACGGAAGTGAGAGATATGGGAAAAGAGATGGAGTCCCCAAAGGAACAGAGCTCGTACACTGTTGAGCAGCTCGTCGCCGTGAATCCATTCAACCCCGAACTCTTACCCGATCTCGAAAACTACGTCAACGAGCAGGTACGAACGTTCCTTTCTCTTTGCTCCTGGAGCTGGCTTATCAATTTGATATAAATCGATTAGTTCGATTCCATTCGAAGCTGATTGTTGTTGGTTCCGTTATGGATTGTTCAGGTTACATCGCAAACGTATAGCCTAGATGCGAATCTATGCTTGCTTCGTCTCTATCAGGTACTTACTACTCTTCATAAACCATACCTTGATGATCCTCCCCTATAGATTCTACTATCTCTCTCTCTCCTAACTTCGTGCTTTGTTTATGTGATACAGTTTGAGCCTGAGCGCATGAACACTCACATCGTGGCTCAAATCTTGGTCAAGGTATGTGGGAAGATTACCTTCTGTGATTGATTAAACAATGTTTGATTAGGTTTAGTGATTTTGTTTTCTCTCTTTTTTGTAGGCTCTTATGGCTATGCCAGCTCTAGACTTCAGCCTTTGCCTCTTTTTGATTCCTGAAAGAGTGGTAAATGTTCTTTCAGCTCAGTTCATTCTTTGTAGTATTAAAGATATCTTCATGGAGTTTCAACGTTTTTTTTTTGGATTCCTGGGGATTAATAGATGCATTTTTTGGTTTTGAATTGTGTGTGTTTGTAGCAAATGGAGGAGCAGTTCAAGACGCTTATTGTTCTCTCACACTACCTTGAGGTGTGCAAATAGATATCTATGAGAGCTGGGAACTTTTGAGTGCTGAAAAGGTGTGTATTGAGTGTTTAGGATATTTGTTTTGATTTTTGTAGACTGGGAGGTTTCAACAGTTTTGGGATGAAGCTGCCAAGAACCGTCACATTCTTGAGGCTGTTCCAGGTACTATCAAGTTTCTTAATCATATAGAAAAAAGGTCGTCTGGTAAAAACCAAGTTCTGGATCTACATTAGGTACTTAAGGATGAATAGATCTTCTAGAAATGGCTCCCATAAAAACCATGGTAGTGTTATACATTTTATGATTTTTGTGTTGATGTCTTATATGCAAGAGATGAAATGCAGGTTTTGAGCAAGCTATCCAAGCGTATGCAAGCCACCTTCTTAGCTTAAGCTACCAAAAGGTTCCAAGATCTGTGCTTGCCGAGGTATGATGTTAAATGAGCTTATGATTATTGACACATGGCTTGCCTTTCAGTTTTCACCATAGGAGATAGCTTAAGCTATCAAATTGTAGACTTTGGATTGAAAGTCTTGTCACTTTTTGATAATTTGCTGTTACGAATTTTCAACACCATAGTTTTTTTTTGTTATATGACCTTTGCTTGTCATAAATGCGCTTGCTCATTAGTTATGAAAATGATACACAGGCTGTCAACATGGATGGTGCATCTCTAGACAAGTTCATTGAGCACCAAGTGACTAACAGCGGATGGATTGTGGAGAAAGACGAAGGAAGTATCGTCTTACCACAGAATGAATTTAACCATCCGGAGCTGAAGAAAAATAATACAGGTGAGAATGTTCCCTTGGAACACGTTGCCCGCATCTTCCCCATCCTTGGTTGAACCAGTTTATGATGACTCTTCAAATTTTCCTTTTTTGTCTCCCTGGCTTTTAAACTAATGCAACACTTTAAGACACTGTAATGTGATTTTTTGCATTAACCATTATAAGTAGTTGCTCGATTTGACTGCACTGCAAGATTATTGGATGCGATAGTTTTATTTTATATAGGGCTCTTTGAGCTTTTCTAGTTCTATACCGTCTAAAACTCTTATGTTACCATATCAGTGTGTTTCAGTAGAGCCGTGTTTGACTCTCTGATGGTAACTTCTCCAATTTGAAGAAGAAGAAAAGATTCAACAATCATTTGCTTGTTCTATTTAAATCAGCTTTAAATTAGGTCTCTTGAAATATAGGAACGGACATATTTGAGGTGTTCTCGTCCTATCTCTCTAAACACCAGATCACATCCAAACATTGACAGCCATCCATTTGGAAGCTCACATGTTTGACAACAGATCATCAAATCACGTGCTCCCTTTTCTCCTTTCCCATGTACATGTTTTCAACTCCCTATTTTTTTCACCTCATTGTGATATTGGTTGAATATATAATTCAGCTTAGATAGCATCTCGTATCTTAGATGATCGCTTAAAAATGATTTCAAGGACCACAACCCTGGATTTTAATGTAATTAATCAGTTCAATACGCTAAAATACGAAATAATGGTGTTTCGTAGTGGTAATATAAAGTTTAGCCTTGAAACAAATGAAGGAACATGAGCCAAACTAAGTACATAAAAATATAGAATTGCTTAACAATCACTATCATCAATACGTCGTTTGGCAAAACAAAGTTGATAACAGTGATAATATCGTTGATGGATTTTTGGTCGACAACAATGAACTAAAATTTGATTTTATATTGTCGACATAATCAATTTTTTTATTAATATATGTGATTTACGTAAATGAAGTGAAATACTATAATTTTAGTTTAATAATTGTAGTGGTACGTGTCGGATAAAATGATAAATACGTGAATAAAAAGCGAAATAGAGGAGAAAAGCAACAAAACAAAACAAAATTCAGACAAGTCGTGAACACAAAAACTGGACAAATCACAAAAAACACGACAGGGAAAAAAAGAAAGGAGCTTAAGAAACTGCAAATCTTCCTTCATGTAAACCATTCCCAATTCTTCCTTCTTCTTTTATCATTCTTTAATTGAATCAATTTTATATTTTTGTTTTGTGTTTCCTTCTGCTCTTCGAATCTCTCTATTTGGTTTCCGACAAAATCGAAGGAAAAAGGTTTCCCCTTTACATTTTTTTCTAAGCTGAGATTAATGTTTATGTGTTTCAAATCTTATCCTGTAATTGTTTTTTTTTAATCAACCGTCTTTTTGGACTTTCTTATTTGTTTCTTCTTTTGTTTAGATTTCTTTTTTCGTAATTAAAAATTCATTGCTTGCTCCTTTAGTTTTAGATATCTCGGAAGCTAGTGTTGCTTGTTTCAAGGTTTTTTTTTAATTGATTCTGGAATCATAAATTTGAGTTATTGAAACTGAAATCGAGATCACTGTTGTATTAGGGATCTCAATGATCTTGAAACGGACTCTCAAAGCTGAGAGAGTGACATCAGTGTGTGACTTGGTCTGGATCTCGGAAGCATCTAATTCCCAAGTAAATTCATTACCCTCCTCTCTTATCTTCCTTATTTCAGACGAGTTTTTTTTTTATTCTCATGGCTTAAAGATTCCTCTTTTATTACTTGAAAGGTTGAGACTTTATGCAATTGAGCAGAGATGTATGTTTCATGATGACTCTCCTTGTCATTGGAGATTCTTATTCAATAAATGGACTCACCAGATCCCAAAGCTCCTGGCTTTGTTGATATATTCAAATCTTGGATTCCTAGAAAGACTGAGTCCTCCTCCACCACCTCATCCTCACATATGTCTAGAGATTTCTGGATGCCTGACCACAGCTGTCCTGTCTGTTACGAGTGTGATGCTCAGTTCACTGTATTCAACAGAAGACATCATTGCCGCCTTTGTGGTCGTGTCTTCTGTGCTAAATGCGCTGCTAATTCTATCCCATCTCCATCTGATGAAGCCAAGGATAGTCATGAGGAGTCATCATCAGACAAGAGGATCAGGGTTTGTAATTACTGCTACAAGCAGTGGGAACAAGGGATAGTTCCGCCTGATAAAGGAGCTTCTATTATTAGCCTTCATTTTAGTTCTTCCCCTTCTGCTAGTACTACTTCTAATTGCACCTCCAATAGTAGCAATGTTGAATCAACGAATCCTCCAGCTAGTGGTCGTGTCTCTTCTTCAAACATGGATTTGCAGAATGCATCATCATCGCATAGGAATCATTCCTCTCAGGATCCAGTTGAATTCTTTGTGAACAGGTAACTTTTCTTCTGTTATGTGTATTTATGTTTTACTTTGTAGCTTCTGTTATGAATTTATCTGTTGAGTTTTGTCTTTTTTTTTTTGGATTTGTAGTGGCAGGAGTGATGGTGAAGCTTATGATGATGACGATTATAACTCTGATTATGCGCAATCTTACTCTCAAGGAAATGATTACTATGGTGCCATCAGTCTTGATGAAGTAGATCGTATCTATGGGTCACATGTAGCTCATGATGCTGGAGAAAACATAGAGTCAAACATCCCAAGTGTCTTGCCCCCTGATCAAGATCTGGACGCACTGAATACAGATACGATAGAGACATCAATGCAGCAAGCAGATGGATGGAATGATGAGAAGGACGGAAGCCCTCCTTGTGAAGAGGCCTTTGAGTCTGAAGTAGTAGATTTTGAGAGTGATGGGCTCTTATGGCTACCGCCAGAGCCAGAGAACGAAGAAGATGAGAGAGAAGCATTGTTATCTGATGACGAAGGTGATGAAGGGGATAGAGGTGATTGGGGGTACCTTCGCCCATCAAATAGCTTTAAAGATAAGGAGTTCCACTCCAAGGACAAGTCAAGTGGTGCTATGAAAAACGTTGTTGAAGGGCACTTTAGGGCTTTAGTAGCACAACTTTTGGAGGTTGATAATCTACCTATGGTTGACGAAGGTGAAAAAGAGGGCTGGCTTGATATAATTACATCATTATCCTGGGAAGCTGCAACACTTCTCAAGCCAGATACGAGTAAAAGTGGAGGAATGGATCCAGGGGGTTATGTGAAGGTTAAATGCATCCCCTCTGGACGTCGCAGTGAGAGGTGAGTTTTTTAGGACTACTTAATTTTATATTTCTGTGTGTTGACTGCTAAGCAATATCGTACTGATTACAATGATGTCATGTTCTAAGTATGGTGGTGAGAGGAGTTGTTTGCAAGAAAAATGTGGCTCATCGGCGAATGACTTCAAAGATCGAGAAGCCACGTCTGCTAATTCTTGGAGGAGCTCTGGAGTATCAACGAATATCTAACCAGTTGTCTAGTTTTGACACTTTGTTGCAACAGGTATGTATCGGTTTTCTTCTTTTAGAGTTTGCCCTATGACCATGGACATGAGTCCTTGGACTAGAAGAAAAGGAAAATCATAATTGTCACTTAGAGGAGTAGGCGGTTAAAGACTTTCGGCATTAATAATGACTATCTCTGGTGTTTCAGGAAATGGATCATTTGAAGATGGCTGTTGCCAAAATTGACTCTCATAATCCCCAAATTCTCTTGGTGGAGAAGTCTGTCTCGCGGTTTGCGCAGGAATATCTTCTTGCGAAGGATATATCTCTTGTTTTGAATATAAAAAAGCCCCTTCTTGAGCGCATATCCCGCTGTACTGGTGCGCAGATTGTCCCTTCAGTTGACCAGCTCACATCACCAAAGCTGGGTTATTGTGACCTGTTCCATGTGGAAAAGTTTGTCGAGACACATGTTGGTACTGGTCAAGGTGTGAAGAAACTGGCAAAGACTTTAATGTATTTTGATGGTTGCCCCAAGCCTTTGGGCTGTACGGTAAGTTCCACAATATTCTTCGGTGTTTTAAATATGAGATACTTGACCTATTATTATGACTACGCATATTGTATCTCTACTAATCCAAAGAGTTCTAAGATATGGCTGATTGATCTGTTTTTGTTTTTCAGATTTTGCTAAAGGGGGCACATGAAGATGAACTAAAAAGGGTGAAACATGTGATTCAGTATGGAGTTTTTGCAGCATATCACTTGGCTCTGGAGACATCGTTCCTAGCAGATGAAGGGGCTTCCCTTCCAGAACTTCCTCTCCAGACCCCAATTACAGTGGCTTTACCTGATAAACCATCAGCGATTAACAGATCAATATCCACAATACCTGGTTTTGGTGCTTCAAGTGCTGAAAAGTCCCCAACTACTGAGTTGATGGGTGAGCCACTTAAAGCCAATGGCGACGTTAAATTGGGTGGAAACGACAGGACTGAGCCTTCTAAAAGCCTGCTTCAGAACATGGATACTGAGTCAGAAATGATTACATCTAAGGACGATGGGTTAGTTCCTACTCTAAAACCCAGGCAGCTATCATTTCACGCGGAAGAAGCTTCTATTAAAAAAGATCAGTGGTCTGTTCAACCCTTTGCCAGAGAACAAGTCACTGATGGTGCCGACACTAACGAATCCACAATGACAGGAGATCAGAATTTTAGTAGACATGAACAGATGGACTCTTCGAAAGGAGACTTTCTTCCTTCATCTTCCGACCATCAAAGCATATTGGTTTCAGCATCAACAAGATGTGTGTGGAAGGGATCTGTGTGTGAGCGGGCTCATCTACTCCGTATTAAATACTATGGGAGCTTTGACAAGCCTTTAGGCCGATTCTTAAGGGATAATCTCTTTGATCAGGTACCCTTCATTTATAGTGTTTTTTTTCTTCTCTTTTATCTTAGCACACCATTCTTCTTTTATCCGATGGTGACTGACGATGTTTTACTCCTAATGAAGCGAAGTGGATGGTTGTAGAACTAATATAAAAGATTCAGGTTAGTTTAGGAGAGAGAAAGACTGTAGGGATAATCGTAAAAATGGTAGTAAAATGGTTTTAAGATTTCAGGCTAATTAAATGAGTAAGACCAGAAGTTATGAAGCCTATCATTTTTGGTATATACGAATGGTTTTAAATAGCTGAGGCTTGCATTATTCTCTTGTTTAGGATCGTTCTTGCCCGTCATGTGCGATGCCAGCAGAAGCACACATTCATAGTTATATTCATAGGCAAGGTAGTCTTACAATATCTGTTAAGAAACTGCCTGAATTGCTACCTGGCCAACGCGAAGGAAAAATTTGGATGTGGCATCGGTGCCTGAAATGTCCTCGGATCAGTGGCTTTCCTCCTGCCACACGCAGAATTGTGATGTCAGATGCTGCGTGGGGTCTGTCTTTTGGCAAATTTTTGGAACTGAGCTTCTCGAACCATGCAGCAGCTAGTCGTGTGGCTAACTGTGGTCATTCCCTTCACAGAGACTGTCTCCGTTTCTATGGGTATGAAGAGATCTAACTCCTAGCAAACTCTTTCTCTGTGGAATGTTTAAACCATTTTGCTGTTTAGCTTTACTTGTAACATGCTACTGATTAACCTTCCTGTCTAATTCTCAAGTACATATTTAATTTGCTTTCTGTTACACGCCTTGCCGTGTAATAATGGATATGTCAAGTGTCAGTTTATGTTGGAGGGTTAAAAGCATGAACTCGTAAGTACTGATTGTCTCATATATCGTCCTTATTGCAGTTTTGGGAAAATGGTGGCTTGCTTCCGCTATGCTTCAATCAATATATTTGCAGTTTCTCTGCCACCATCAAAACTTGAGTTCAACTGTGAAAACCAGGATTGGCTCCAAAAGGAATCCAAAGAGGTTACAAATTTCCGGCAGTTTTTAATGAATACTTGTATATAATCAACAAAGCCAGGAGTCTTACCTACTTATTTGTCGTGGTTTCTATACAATAGGTGATTAATAAAGCGGAAGTCCTTTTTAATGAGGTTCAGGAGGCACTTGGTCAGATTTCAGCGAAAACAATGGGTGCAAATTCCAAGGGCAGCACTCCTGACAAGATAAAGCTTTCTCTTGAAGAACTTGCAGGACTTCTTGAGCAACGTAAAAAGGAATATAAGGTACCCTGTCATGCAAAGTACACTCCGTTAGACTTAAGAAGTAACAGAGTTTCATATGCTTGGTGCATTCACATCACTAACATAGTCCTCACGATGTATATGTGTATAAAGTATACATACAATTCGAAAACTGTATTGTAGAGTTTGTTACCTGATCCGTTAGCCTTCAGAGGATCGAGTCTTATAACCTAACCTCTGCACTGAAAACTTGGGGCCCTTTTCTTCAGTGTAGCTGTGTAGATGATTTTCTGTTGGCCCTATACGCAATATTGATTTTAGATGTTGGTGGTTTCAGGAATCTTTGCAGCAAATGTTAAGTCTGTCTAAGGATGGGCAACCTACTATTGACATCCTTCTGATAAATAAACTTCGAAGACTGATACTTTTCGATTCATATGCCTGGGATGAATGCCTGACAGGGGCGGCCAGTATGGTGAGAAATAACTATTCTGAAGCTCCGAGGAATTCTGCTCCAAAAGCTATGGGTCGTGACGTCTCCTTAGAAAAGTTTGGTGATGAAAAAGAAAAGTCGATATCAAACCATGTTGCAAGTAGTAATGACTCTCTTCCCAGTGATGCGGCGTATGATAAAAGTCTTAGCAAGGGTAAGTCATTTTCTGATATCAGCGGAAAGAGTGTCATTCCTGAAGATGTAGGCTCAGACATACCCTCTGAACGTAGGATAGAGTCTGAATCTAGTGAAGGTGGTAAAGAAAATTCTGTGGAGCCTTCGCAGGTGGTTAAAGCGGTACTTTCTGAGAGCCAGTCCCAAGCAACAGACTTATCTGATACTCTTGATGCAGCATGGATAGGTGAACAAACTGCCTCAGAGAATGGTATTTCTCGTCCGTCTAGCAGAGCTGCTTCAGCAAATGGAACTCAGAGTTATGATTTAAAGCGCTCGGATTCAGAAAGTGGGATGACCTTTACAGGAGGCCCAACCAATGAGGAACAGACAATGCAAGTTCAGATGCCTTCTCCTAGTTTTTACTATTCACTCAACAAGAATTATTCGCTTAATTCTCGCAAGCATATTATGGCTGAAGACCGGCCTGTTTACGTTTCTTCATATAGAGAGCTTGAATGGCAAAGCGGTGCAAGGCTGCTACTTCCTTTGGGAATTAATGACTTGGTACTGCCAGTATATGATGACGAGCCTACTAGTATCATAGCCTATGCCCTTACATCATCAGAATATAACGCCCAGATGTCTGGATCAGACAAGGCAAGAGATCGCTTGGATAGTGGGGGTTCCTTTTCACTTTTTGATTCTGTGAATCTTCTCTCATTGAACTCTTTGAGCGATTTGTCAGTTGACATGAGCAGAAGCCTGAGCTCTGCAGATGAACAAGTTTCGCAGCTGCTACAGTCATCCTTGTATTTGAAAGATCTGCATGCTAGAGTCTCGTTTACAGATGAAAGTCCACCTGGGAAAGTGAAGTACTCTGTGACGTGTTACTATGCGAAGGAGTTTGAGGCCTTGAGGAAGATTTGCTGTCCTTCAGAAACTGATTTCATAAGATCTCTTGGTCGATGTAGAAAATGGGGAGCCCAGGGTGGAAAGAGCAATGTCTTCTTTGCAAAAACCTTGGATGACCGTTTTATCATCAAACAAGTTACAAAGACAGAGCTTGAATCCTTCATCAAATTTGCGCCAGCTTACTTCAAATACTTGACTGAATCAATCTGTACTAAAAGCCCTACAAGTCTTGCAAAGATCCTGGGAATCTATCAGGTAACACAACATAAACCGATTTGCTTTATTACTTATTTTGTTGACATGTCATTAAACCCATGATTTTTGCTAAAATCTTTAAAGGTCTCATCCAAACACTTTAAAGGAGGGAAAGAGTTCAAAATGGATGTCTTGGTGATGGAGAATCTTCTGTTCAAGCGTAACTTCGCTAGGCTTTATGACCTAAAAGGCTCCACTCGTGCCCGTTACAATCCAGATACAAGTGGTAGCAACACAGTTTTGCTGGACCAGAATCTGGTCGAAGCAATGCCCACATCACCAATATTTGTTGGAAGCAAGGCAAAGCGGCTTCTTGAAAGAGCCGTCTGGAATGATACATCGTTTCTTGCTGTAAGTTTCAAGTTGCTTCTTCTCTTTAATCAGTTTTGAATATGTTCTTGAGCTGTACATGTTACTAATGCTTTGTTTCTTTGGCTGAAGTCAATTCACGTAATGGATTACTCCTTACTAGTCGGGGTAGATGAGGAACGAAGCGAACTTGTTCTAGGAACTATCGATTTCATGAGGCAATACACTTGGGACAAACATCTGGAGACTTGGGTCAAAACTTCAGGGCTACTTGGAGGACCAAAGAACTCAACCCCCACAGTGATATCACCGCAGCAATACAAGAAACGTTTCAGGAAAGCCATGACAGCTTATTTTCTCATGGTTCCTGACCAATGGTCACCTGCCACCACGGTTGTGCCAAACAACAGTTCTTCAGCAGATGTGAAGGATGACGAAGAGAGAGACGATCGTCAAAGTGTTGGTAAAAACTCCTGAATCATCTTCTGCAGTTAGCAGATATAGCAAAGACATACACAATATTGGGTTAGTAATGTCTTCTTCTCGGTTCAAGTTTTATTTGTTTTTTTTTCTGTTTTGGAATGGTCTTTGGGTAATACCTGTTTATGTTTTTACCCTTAGCCTTTAAGTGGCCTATATGTAATAGCTCGTTCATCACCTTTGCATCAGAAGTAATAAAAGCAAGGTGCAATTGTATATACAATGCTTCTTTCTTTTAGTTTCGCACTTTCTTGTTACTTTTGTTTATGATATTTTGCAAATCAAAGTACTGAAGTATATAATTTTGGGGACTTCTTTTGACTTATAACTTGCATAAATTTTAATATTTCATATCAGAAGCTAAAATTGAAAGCCACAACCAGTAGCAAAAAGGTAAAGATTCACAATAAGAACATTGAATATAATTGACCGAGACTGCCTGAAATGAGCCAGAAGTTGAATTAGAAACATTTACGGCATATAATCAAAACTGAACCAAATTTGTTGTCAATCTGTAATCAAACCAAATCATTTATATATTAAAACACAAGTTACTTGGCCAACAAAATTAAAACATGTGGAAAATGTTCTTCATAATTTCAATAAAAGCTAATTAATCATCTAACATAATTAAAAATCTGAACAGTTACAAAACTAAACAATTGAAACAATAACTGTCTATGTAATTGAACTCCACTATATATCCCTATTTCTATGGTACGATTACAAACTATTTCATCTTCTATATAATTAAACAAATAATAAAAAAATTTCTCGGTTTTCATTTTTTCTACGATTTCTTTGTTTCCATCTTTTCTTTTATTCTCAGTTGTTTGAGTGTAATGACAAGAATCAATATAGCTTTATGATTTCTTTCAATAGTCAAATTCATTTTTCTCACCTTCTCAAAGTAATATCGTTTTTATTTAGCTTAATTTTTTATTACGAATTTTTCACCTTCTCAAAGAGAAACGAAGCTGCACAGTAAATTTTAAATCAGACCATGGAAATACCAAAAGTAAATACTTTAGCATTTTTCAGTAAAAAGAATAATACTTTGGCAACTTTCTTTCGGTTAACATGAAAAGTGTTAATTTTATTAAGTTTTTTTCGATGACTTTTTGATTTTATTATAGATATAGGTCAAAGAAAGATAAGCTCATCTTTCCGCTAAAGAACGTGAAAATAGTATAATTTGGTGTTGTGAGAACGGAACTAAAGTACTATTGTAAATATAATTGTTTTGATTTTTAATTTTTATTGCTGTTAATTTATAACTTTTAGATATATTAGTAGAATTTTTTCCTGTAGTATCATAATAAGTTGAATGATAGACATACTGAATAAGTCCAACCGAACAAAACCTATGTTTGTTATAAAAAATACATTGAATATACTAAAACTATAATTGTTGTGTTTTTTAATCTAAAACCGAAATAAAATCTGAGTGTAGTTTAGATATGTTTTCCAAAACCACAGAAAGCAAAAATCCAACAAAAACCTGAAATGAATGCGCATGCTTAGAAATTTACCGTAACATTATGTTAAGTTTACTTTTTAATGACTCACACTAATAATATAATTAACATACTAAGAAATTATTAATTACCAGTGATAAGAGGTTTGACGAGACCAGATGTACCATCGAAGCCTTCCATGCAAATGTCTTGATTGGAGAGAGCAGCGCTTAACCATGTTTTTGTGTCTGATCACACGTTCACTGTTCCATTGCCCTTACTTGAAGACCCCACTTACATTTATTGTGCAATTAGTATCTTTGATTTTGAATCCATATTCCATGTCCCTACGACGAACATGCCATTTACTAATAATTATGTAAAAGTTGTTTTCATTTCATTGACGGAAATGCTAGCCTTGACGAAAATGCATAGTCTTCAATTCAATTTTTTTTTCAGTTAGGACAATGCGGTGTACGGATATTCTGATAAATATATGATATTGGACATGTGTATGCTATTGGCTGAAGACGAAGAAAGACCCCTCCTCCTTATCGCTGGTGATGGAGATTACCTTCGTTTCATATAGGGATTCCCGAGAGCCTATTTGATGGTTGCTAAGCCTAAGCCATCAAATCCTGATCTCCTTGTAAGAGTGAAAGCGGCGTGGCGTTGGGTGGCTGAAGGTAATAAAGATCAAATGATATTGGGAGGGAGACCTCGGTACGGGACTGTGGCTAAGAGCGCCTAGAGCAGAAGGAATTAGCTTATCAGGTTCGGGGAACTTGTTTCTTTCTTTGCTCTATTTTAATGGTCTTGTGTGATGCTCTCTTCGGTTTGAGCAGATTGAAATGCACTATCCTCTCAGTATTCTTTTGCAGTGGAGTCTGGAGGCTTGGAGAACAAAACTTCTAAAATCATCTTACTTTTGTTTATGACATTTTGCGCATCATAAATACTCTATCTCTAATATATAATCTTGGGGACTTCTTTTGACATAACTAATCAAGAACCTAAATGTGACTTAAAGAAACGAATAACTCAAAGTAGATATTTAATCTATGGGACTTCGTGCAAGTCTTAACGCATAAATATTATTAACTTTTAATATTTCATATCAGAAGCTAAATTAACAGGCATAAGAAAAACAATAGCAAAAACGTAAAGATTCACAATACGAACACTGAGACATTAATTTTAGACACACAAGCCAGCAGTAAACGTTACTCCAGTAGAAGGCAGCCAAAGATTTCCTTCAATAAATTGAGAAACGGTGAAATTATTAGCCTGGTCCGAGGTGTTAAAAACGTGGTAACCAGGCCACTTGACTCGGCTGCTGAGTCCTGAACCAGGCCCGTAGTTCAAGAACTCTCCATAGAAGAGTGTGTCCAAAGCAAAAGTGGTGTTCCACTCGAGCCATCCTTCGGGTCTCACAACGTTGCTCAAGTTGTTCCTCATGAAAACTGTCCTTGAATACTGCTTCCATGGCCTTCCTAGATACGTGTGTGTCGTGTTCAGGTATGGAACTAAGTCTGCGTCCGCCGAGATATTGCTGAACTGAATCGAGAATCCTGTTCACATGAGAACTTTGTGGTTACATAGTTTCTTGGGTGACAAGACATGTTATTAACGAAACCCTAATTAAAGAGTTTCAAGAAGTGTTTGTTTACCTGAGGGTTGGTCAGCTTCTTTCCTGCCTTGTGCAGTGATGGTATTCTTTTGGTCAGGGAGTCCTTTCTTAACCAAAATTTGACAATTTTGAAACACAACGGTCCCATCTCCAAATATAAAATCCACCGTTCCTGTGATGGTGCACTCGCGGTAGAACTGACGCATAGTGTGCGTGTAGAGTGTATCTTGATAACCTCTCATGGCACATCTATAGAACACAGATAGGTCAGAGTCTGACCTAAGTGCTACGGCCTGATGCTTCTCTGGTCCCGCTGTGTTTTGAAACGTTATATCTCTAGCCAAGAACCCTCTTCCGTTTACAGCTGAAATTAGTGTAATTATTATTATAATCAATTTTCACGTGTGCATGGATCAACAAGTATGTTACACAAACGTTTTATTACCGAATGTAGCGGATCGGAACGTGGTTGAGCCGTCAACGTAGCTGCGGTTACCGGATATAATTGTCACGTCAATGCCATCACCTATCATTACGAGGTTCCATTTCTTCTTCTTGATCTCAACGTTCTCTAAGTATAAACCCTTTTTGATGTATATGACGAAACGTGTCCAACTATAATCAGGAGATTCCTCAACGGCGTCCATTATGGTCGTGAAGTTGCCTGTCCCATCTTGTGCTACAATAACGTCGTAACTCACACCGTTTGTTTCAAGGAGTCTCCGGTCCTCTGGTCTGAACCAGTCTGGGAATTGTCGGCCTTCCTCGTCGTCTTCGGTGTCCCTGAGTGTCCGGCCTGGTGGAGCCCTTGGTCCTTTAGCAATGGGACCAGGTCTGGAAATGGGGTCAGGTTTCTGCTCGGGCTGAACAAGTGGTAACAGTTGACTAAGCATAGAATATAATTGACCGAGACTGCCTGAAACGAGCCAAAATACCATGATAATTAAGTTATTAATATATACTTAAGCAAACCTAAATGTGTTAAAAATACATTGAAAATACTTAAACTATATAATTGTTATGTTTAAAATCTAAAATCGAAACAAACCGAAATAAGTATGATTGTAGCTAGTTTAGACCTGTTTTACAAAACTTAACACAGAAAACAAAAATCTAAAAAGAAAACAATGTGAATTGAATGCGCATGCTTAAACATTACTATAGCATTATGTTAATTTACTTTTTAGTGACGTCCCACACAAATTATACGATTAATATACTAAGAAAAGATTAATTACCAGCGATGAGAGGTTTGACAAGACCAGATGTACCGTCGAAGCCTTCCATGCAAGTGTCTTGATTAGAGAGAGCAGCACTTAACCATGTCTTTGTGTCCGATCCCACGTTGCCTGTTCCATTACCCTTACCTGAAGACCCCACTTCGAAAACTATCACATGTCTTCATCTTTAATACTAGTAACTACTACTCGTAATTTTATTCTTATTATTCAACACTATCATTTTCGTTCATTCACACTTACATTTATCATGTAATAAGTATTTTTGATTTTGAATTCATGTTCCATGTCCCTACGACGCACATGCCATTTACTAATGATTATGTAAAAGTTGCTTTCATTTCATTGAGGAAAATGCATAGCCTTGACGTAACATAATCATCGTCACTTGACATATGCATATACATTTTGTAAAATCTTTGAAAAAAATAATACAGCCTGCAGCATTAATAAAGCTGCTCGAGAATTTCGTTTGTTATCAAGACCACATTCTTTGATTAAGAAATCCATTAATTCTCTCAAACTAGACCTCAAAATTCTATTATAGTCGATAGTCAAACAACCAACAATTTCAAACTTAATGCAGCAAGGACAAAAATATTCAAACTTACTGTAGCAAGGACAAAATATTTCTTTCATTTTTAATATAAAAGCTTCTCAATTAAGCCCATTTCAATTAAATGTTTCCAAACAGTGTCTTAAATTCTTAATATATTACCATTTAAATTTAACACCATGAGATAATCTAGTCTATGGTATCGAGTGATCATAATTTATTGGAGGCGTGGAGAATCTAACTAGATAAATAAAGTCCAAACTCCCAACCAGTCAGGTAGTACAGTAGAGGTGTGTTGTTTCACAATAATTGATGTTTTATATGCGTAACACGTTTGTAATAGAAACTGAAATTCCACACGATTTAATTTGTACGTCACATTAAAATTAATTATGGTCCCTCTCATATGCCTTTCTTGTGTATATGA